CTTTTCCAAAATAAGCTCACATCTCTTTTTCATTGATAAAACTAAATTATTCACTGTTTCAACTGAAATTGCGTCCCGTTCCTCAATCATTCATTGATATCGTTTGGCGTTTGTTTTTCAACATTGTTCTTGACTATTTGCCACATGTTTTCTATGGGATTAATGTCCAGGTTATTGGACGGCCAATCAATAACCCGAATTGACCACACTGCGTGCTGCTCAGATAAGGTTTAACTTGAAGTGTTAAAGTATAACCGTTTTCAGTAATATTATTCTGTTGGGATACCTTTCCGAGTAGATGGACGAGAGGTTGTCCTGACTGTAATATCTTGTTGCAAGCACTAGTTCCTGCATACATATCAATTGTATATCCCCCGAATCTTTCTATGAATTCCTGCACAGCATGTGCGCGTGCCGCTGCTATATATTTCTCAGTCTTTTGAGCAGTTGGGATTGCAATATATTTACGTAAAAAGTCCGTCCATTATGTCAGTGAAGCAAAATAGAGGTGTCTTTCCCTTTTTGGAATGCCTCCCACGCCAACACTTTCTGGCGCGATTTGGGCAAGCGTCGGATGAGCTCTTATGCCACCGATGGACCTTATTTCTAAAAAGATCAAAAGCCGTTTCATCAGTGAACATAGTACGGCTCTAATTATCACGCAAATGTGCCTCCGCCCACGCCTTCCGTCCTTCAATGTGCTGTTCAGTGAGCATAGATATTTGTTGTGTTGTTTGCACCTTTGAAGCAAGTTGCCGTGTTGTAGTGGCACATGCCGTTAACTATTCCATACAGAAAATCAAACGTTGATTCACAATTTCCATCCCGTTGTTTTGGGAAAAACGATACATGCGTGTCAGCAGGAATACCACTCTTTGAGCGTAAGTCATGTTGTCGTCGTCGCATATCGGCCGTGAACTGACCATGCGCATGTTTCGGTGCAAATGTTGTTCGAAAGCGCGAGATACTGTTTGTGTAATCTTTGAAGGGCGACCGTTTCCCTTCCTGTGTTCGACAGATTCTGTATCTTGGAGATTATACTTGATCATACGAAGGGAAATGTTAATAATGGAGAATTGTTTGGCGTTGGGCTTCCAGTTGCGAGTTAACCATTGTTACTGATAAGGTAGGTTCGGGGGATGCCTGAAAAAATGTTTACCTAATTAGTAGCTAGTGTAAATAATGTCGCGTTGGCAATAAACAAACGCGTTTCTTGTTTATTATTATTATTATTATTAACACATTGTACGTCATTTCACACAAGGTTTTTACCGTGCAAATAAAATACGCTACATAGAATAAAATTTCTGTTCTCCTGCTACTTGTCGATTGTTTAAAGCATAAAATAATTAGACGATATAAGAAAACACATTCTGCCACACCAAAGAAACGTCCTGGGCGCCCAAAAGCGCTTACTGAACGAGATAGACGGGTTCTAAAACGCATAGTCCACTGTTAGAAAACACCTACACGATAAAGGTATTCGATGTTATGCTGCAAAGAAGAAGCCGCATTTAACTGGAAAGCACTTGATGGATGTCAACTCACAGTATTCGAGTTTTAGATTGGGTTGCACAGAGTCCCGACCTTAATCCGGTCGAGAATCTTTGGAACCACTTAGACCGTCAGGTACGTAAACGAAAACCTCTGCCGCAAACAAAGCAGGAGCAATTCAAGAGGAATGGAGGAATATTAGTCTAGAAATGTTGCAACCGTACAGATGCAGTTATCAAGGCTAAAGGTTGCTCATCAAGTTTGAATCATCACACTGATCTGCATGATCTGCATTTATAGTTTCCAAACCCGCTATGTGATATCTGAGAAAAATCTGAATCATGTGAGCGTTCAGTAATTGCTACATGTTTACCTGTGTAAAGATTATCTTCATCTCAAGGCCTAACACATAGGAAACGAACGCTATCGCAAGCACGAAACCGCCCAATGGATAAATATATCAAAGTAAAAGGTAGTGTATTCACCTCTACTCTCGAGTAGTGCATTCACCTGTGCTTTTGCGCAGCCTTATTTTGTCACTGTCTTTGTTGTAGTGTATCGTTCTGATCTTAATGCTAATATTTAATTTATAAATATAGGAATTGCAACACCGCCACCGTCGTATAACAATTCATGTTGTGGGCGGCCGCGGCGCTCGGTGTTAGTGGCAGGGGAGATCACGGGAGTAACCGCAAAACAACTACAGTGAACTCTCCATTCAAGCACCCTCCATTTATGCACACTCTCCATATTCTGCATTGCACGGTTTTTTTCGTTTCCTATCATCATGGACATTGTTGGTGGGAGGTTGACCTATTGTATGGATCATGCATGCCGGCCGATTAAGCAGTTAATGGGAACATGGGAGGTTGATTATGATGCAGTCGAGAACAATATTAAGACAAATGGAAGAGAAGCTCTTTGTCAGTTAGGAGTCTGTAGTTCCCATTTCAACTTCGATCATGATGGAGTCCACCAACATAACATAAAACACACTGTTTCGATTAGAAAAAGTTGGATACATAGATAAGGTGCATGTGCTGTAATCAATATAAATATTTAGTGATTTTATTTTGATTTAAGCTTGAGAAGTGATACAATAATAGTAAAAATGTCTACTATTAAAAACTGTGAGGTGATAAGATTATGAAACATTCAACTATGGTAATTATTTTTTGCTTGGCGAAACTTTAGATAAGAGATGTTCCATTGCATGTACTGATGGCTGATTCATTGCAGTCAAAATTACTTCATCCGGTGGGTCAGTGATGTCATTGGCAAATAGTGTGGTTGGTCGACAGTGCAAAAAATTGTAATCTACAAGTGAATCAACTTTTCCAGAACCAATTTCTTTAATCAAGTCATCTTCTAAAATGTATCCCTGATTCTCTGCCTTCACTATTGCTTCCATAGTTTTGATTAAATCATAATCCTTCCAAAGTGCTGGATTGGGCTTATCTGAATGTCTCAATCTCTCAGTATAAGTATAGAGGCCACGTTTCAACTTATCATATTTTGATATGTAAACTGAAAATGTGCTATCTGTAAAACAATTTGTTTAAACCATTTCATATTTTTTAATTAACAAAATACATTTCCTTCAAAAGAAATAAAATCCGATATGTACCTTTGAACTTTCCACCATAATTTTTGTATTCTCCAACATATCTGTCAATAATCAACATTCGTGTACCTGTCATTTTACGGACATGGTCGAATTTGCCTTTGAGTTCTTTGCATTCTTTTTTAAATAAAAATACCGTCATATAAGCCCTCAGTATATATAAATAGACGAGCTCAATAAAAACATACCATATCGAGGAAGAACTTGCACTTCAAAATATTCTTCAGCTTCTTCCTTGCTCAAATCCCCAACAACATATGGGGTTGCATGTGGTATATACAAAACTAGGCAATAAATGCGGATTAGAGAATCATAAACCTTTTTACATTGCTATCAATATGATTATAAGGGACTTACGATTTACGATCCAGTTAAAAAAGAATGAATCGGAAGAGGTAAGCACTACATGAAAGCATCTCTTTTCTTTTGTATTCATCACCATCCAGTCCAGAATTGATTTGAGAAGAATTTCCCCCCCTTCCGAATTGCTCAAGTTGGCTAAACTTGTTTGCTTCATCAATGACCAAAATGGGTGGAGGTATATTGTAACCGTTCCAATGGGTCCAACTTGGGAGAGCATTACTAACATTATCGAGCAACTCACAGACATCATTAGGAGTAATTCCTTTCTTACTAAATGGATCCATACCAAATGGCTTAACTTTTACTGGATATCATTCATCATGTAACTGACTTCTCCTTTTTCAAATAACTTTTTAAAGATATCCGTATATTTTTTGAAAAATGGTTCGACTTGCAAAGATATTGAAGCATATATCCTCTCCGGTGTGTGTCAAATTGACCTGCACGACAGTTGATGTAAAGAGGGTTGAAATCGCCTTTACTCGTTACCTCACGGACCAATCCAGTACTAGGAGGACCTAGAACGACATGAAGTCCCGGAACAGCATTACTAAATGCATTTTTAAACTTAGCAAGTTTTCGGTTGTAGTAATTTCTGAGCTTGCAAACTAATCGTTTTTTATATAGAAATGTCATTTTGTAACGCAAATATACACGATACCACTTTGTCAAATTACTTCTTCACCAAAGTACTAAATTACGTGTAGTTTTACGTTATATTTTTCCGAACATTGTGACTCTAAAATTGAAATTTTTGAAAATATGGTTTACTAGTAATTATCAATACTGTTGGCCAGTATGTGTAGATTTTTGAGTCACGAAGGCAATTGCGTAAAATTTGGCGGGTTTTTTAAAATTGTTGTTATTAATTGGTGATTTATTTTCTGACAACGCGTATCTTGAATACAATGATAACATATGCGCAAAAATTCGCGCAAATGGATACTTTATTATAAAACAGCCCCGGTTAACTTCTTGTTATCCAGAAATCAACAGCGCAATAAATATCGTTGAAACAATACATCTTTAAGAACAATAAACACATTCGTCAACTCCTATAATACTCCTTTAATCTATCGAGCGAATTTTTTTATTCGCTTCGCTCTCGGTCTGTTGCTGAATGACATAATTTATAGGCAATCCCACAACATGGGAATGTTAATCAAGACTATGAAGTCCAGAGAATTATCAAAAACGAAACCGTCAGCGAACAAAAAATATTTTCCAGATATCGAAATGTTGTGGAACGGTTTCAGACAATTATACGATAAAAAACCCGAATCGGAACCAAAATTTTCATTTAACAAAATGGTGTTTGAAATTTCCAAGTTGCTAAATAAATAAAAAACCATCGTTGCGTCAACAATAGAAAATTTTTGCCTTCGACGAACGACTCCGTGGAAGAAGACTATTGAGGCTATCCGATGTTGGATGGACATAGAGAAGAGAAATGTAGACCACTTATATGTGAAAAAAAATAGATAATGACAATATTATTGGTAATGACAATGATAAAAAATTCCGAAATTTAGATGTGACCAAAGAATAGGTTATACTCATCGATGGTTTTGGCAGAGAGTCTTTACGTTAACTTTGTTTCCCTTGCGTTTCTTCTAGTTTTCGTTTCCTTCTTGGTTCATCATTAATGTTCGTTTATGGTTAATTATTTTTCGTTTTTGGTAAAATTTATAGGTAATTTTTTCTTGATTTAGATATTCCTCGAAAATTTCGGTATCATTCATTTTAAAAGCGTATGGAGCAATTTTTCTCCTTGTGCTTTCTTTAGAATACTTCTAATTGTGCTATAATTTTTTGTTCCATGGTGGATTTAACGTAAATAAGTTTTCTATTATATTTTTATATAAAGATAGGTCTATATGGAACGTATTATACAGTAAACAACTATGCATGCCAGTTTCAATTACTGCAATAAAACTAGACAAAGTGAACATTCTGCTCTGTGACATAAAGGAGAGATTGATGTGACTAAAAAATCAATGTAACATTTTTGCTTTAATATATTAATATAGACTACTTAGATGACTTGACTTATTTTCTACCCCTGTAATATATGTGTATTTTTATATTTCATAGTTATGTACATGTCGGATAAAGGTCACCCATATGTGCCTAATAAATCGTAATTAAATTTATTCCCGATTAAGCCTACATCAACTAATATCGTTACAAGATACCATTTTATGCCGCGACCTTTTTTCGCCTCAGAAAGTATTATTAAAGAACTGTTTTAGAGTTCAACTTTAGTTTTTCGTTACGAATCATCTTTGCTTTACAAATCGTTATATATCCGCCGTTTATACAGATCCACTTGCAAGAGCCCCTCGTATTACGCCAAGAAATGGAGAGGATTCCGCATCGACGGACATCAATCACCCAAATAGATAGCCAAGTTACTATTTCTATGCTCCAAACAAGGGTGCAAAGGTGTGGATTAAATTTATTGTCACAATATTCTCTCTTAAAGCATTATAACAGAACACTTCCACGCAGAGAGAATGTATTCAGGGATGTCTACTGCTTATGAACTAAAAATACTACGTCTACACCTTTACATTCCCCCCCGCAATAAATAGTAGTTAATTCTCGTCGACGAGAATTAGCTGAAGAATGAACAACTCACACCAACCCATCCATATATGCCCAATAATTACATGCCCTATTGAGAAGAAAAGCTGATAGACCTCTTGCAGCAATTCGAAATTTCACAAGCTCGTGCATTACAAAATACATAGAAAATGAAACATTAATAAATTATTAAATTAAATAGAGTACTACTGTTAGTTCATATAACCCCAAGCGCCAACCCATTTCTAGTCACGTCCATTTTATTTTTGTTCATGAGAGTATTGTATCCATTATGGAAACGTCGCTCTCCTTTACTGACAAAGGATTCTGCCTGAGCGGAGAAATCAACAGGCTCGGCGCGTTCGAGCGTTTCCACACTGTCATTTAGTCTTTGATAAATAGAATTGATCTGAGACTCTGAGGAACGTCTTATAAGTGCTGGGTCTTGAACGGTTGTTCTCGATGAACAATATCGGGGACGTCGTGGTATCATTTCAGATCTCGCAAAGTTTCGAGCATGTTGTGTTCTATCCATGTCCATTCTAAGCTCATAAGTATCCCACCCATCATCGAAGCGTTGTAAAGGTTGTCTACAGGTGTACAATCCATTTCCGGCCCGCAGAGTCTCTTGTTCCCGTTCACGAACGGATGAAGAATAAATAGGATTGCGAGAAAATGACTCTACGTTATTTTCTCTATCAAACTTTTGCCTAACGCTTGAACTCTTTCTCGACGTACTAAAGTAATCTTCGCCGGAACCAAGTGGTACTGGAGAGTACGATCTAAAAGGACTAAATCTTCCGTCATCGCTGATAACCGATTTGTCCATATTAAGAGTCATCGAGACGTTGTTAAAGGACGTTGTTGGTGATCGGGAAAAGAATGAAAATCCCGTCTGTGAAGAAGAATCCGTGGGTAACGACAGCTCAGCCGCATCAGATTTGCGCGTCCTTGTTCCAATCGGATCTTGGAGCGAATTACGTAATTGAATTCCAGACTGAGTAACACATTGTTCCTTCGGTAAGGTGCGCGGTGTCTGATCCATTGCCAAATTTCCCGAGTTCATGTGTGTCGAAGCATAGATATCATTCATGTACGACGATGTTGACGATTTGCTCGTCGCTTCGTGCATTGGGAGCGGAGAAATATTCGGTTTGTATGAGCCAGATCCAACAAGTGAATTCTCTAGCTGTTGTTGGACGAGTAGCTGCCAGCGTTCCTCGTCCAATGGGAAGTGCATTCTTAGATATTCTTCGCTTTCTGTCGGGAAGAGAGCGGAATACGGTGTACTGGGAGAATAACATGGTGAACTTGATGACATTGGTGTTAGTGGCTGAGGACTGAAGACAACTGGACTGAGGGACGAAGAGGAAAACATGGAAGCCGCGGATCTTGGGGTACACAATAGCTCCATATCCAAATCTAAATGTAGTATTATCCATGTAAGTTTACCAAAAAAAAAAAAGAATGAGACTTAGTCTGCACAAATAACCAACGACTTACCAAGCTCGTCATATCGATTCTTCTGCATCTCATCTGAATCTATCATGTATGGGTCGTATGTGCCCATAGACAAATGGGGAAATGGATTTATCACAGATCGGGATCCGTAATAATAATTATGTGAAGGTCTACGTTTGAGAGCATTAAGTTCGGAAGAGCTATGCCGATGCCTTAATTCCTGATGTTTGGCTGTTTGTGAAAGTTTTGGGTAAGAGGCGGGATGAGAAAGAGTCCGATAATGTCTTCCTTCTGTGTAATAATATAATGAAAGTCACTCATCATGCGTTATATTCAAATATAGCAAGAATGTAAAAGTGTTTTATACATACCATTTGATCCGTGATATTCGCTCAGATCTCTTCCTGATTTTTTGTATTCTTCTTGAATCCGATAAATTTCTTTTGATGTAAAAAAAATCATTCATATAAGAATTGTATTTCAAACAAACAAACTCTAAAATGAAGAACGTTTATTTTACAAACCATCAAACTGCCATTTCATAGGAATATTTTCTTTGGGTTGCGATGCTTTATCAAAAGATATCGTCAGTCAATACACTAGAAAGTAATATACGGTATAGACTCTTCTCTTGTATACCGGAATTTACAGCTTACCACGTCGAGCGCCTATCTCTCCTTCCTGGCATTTCGCCAGTGCGGTAGTGATGGTCATGTGTTTCTTTTCCTTTTCCGCAGACTTGGTTGAAGTTTCTAACAGTAAAGCTGATTCACTACTCGCGCGGCGAGTGTGGCTTATTTCACTTCGGAGAGACATATAACGTATAATAATAATATAAAAGAGGGGGAAAAGGGTAAGGGGAAAGGAAGTATATAAGAAGTGCAAAAAAAGGATGCTTTAAGAAATGTATCTGTATATACTATGAGAAAGTAATTGGAGTATTTTTATATTATTATTTGTTTTTTATCTTTTGCGTCTCTCGACTCTGCTCTTGTTTTTTCCGTTGGGAAAGCCACAGAAAAAGCGAGAGGGAGCGAGCTTTGAGCTTTGTATCGACGTACTTATCGCGGAGAAGACGAGATAATGTGCGCTCTATTGGATACGAAAGGGTATTTAACCATTTGAGGATGTCTAAACACTAAAGTGGTTCGTAGTCATGGCCAATTTTAGGTTTTCCGAAGAACGACAGATTCAATGGAAAAGTTGGTGAATCATCCCGAGAAAGTGATACGAAATTATAATGTTAATAAGCACGCATCGCGCTAATAATAGAGAAATAGGTCGAAACATAGATAAGCAGGGTTTTGTGCAAATGTAATAGAATCCTTATTGAAAGTGTGTGGGAGATGTCACTCAATATTAAAAAAATAAGCGAGTGGATTTTTGTATATGCTCTTATTCCGTTCTGCATGACGATCCTTCCATTATATGTTGGGGTTCCTACATGTGGTGATACAAAATATAGAATGGTTACGACCGAACCTTCGGTATGTTTTTTGGACGCTCATTATAGTTTTAAGAATATTGCACATGCATGCAAAATAGGTAGCAAGCCTCGTTAATAGCTCCTTTTTTGCGACCATGCGTCTTCTAAAATTCGATAGACTTTAGTCGTTACTTGCATATCTTTCCATCATAAGCGTTTGCTTAGTTATGCATGAATCACATGATTTGCTGTATCTACATCCCGCCCCCTCTCAAGGTAACCGTAAACTTTTTAGTTAATCCATGTGTTTGCAGAAATATAGAGTATTGAGTGTATCCTCAAAATGGTTGCAAAGGGACGTTGGACAAGGTATAAGTGACAGAACTAGGTTCGGTTGCCATACACGGAACCCAGTCAGCTATGCGCTTTGTCGCACGCATTTGTTAACTTCAGCACGATTGGTATCAACGTCACCATCAAACAACGGGGCAGTGTATGAAGCCCCTCGCAGATATTACGCTACTAAGGGTACTGACTCCGCAACTGATCGTTGGAGAGCGAGCAAACCCAACCCAACTCCATTCGATGTGCTTGGTTTATCCCATAATGCAAGTGCTGCTGAGATGAAGGAGCGTTACTATGAGCTTGTCAAGCAATATCATCCTGATAAAGTTGGACATAATTCCCCCGCTGCTCTAGATAGATTTCGCAATGTCGTTAAGGCATATGAATTGCTTAGTAATCCAAAACGTAAAGAACTTTATCTTCGCTACGGAATAGGCTGGATTGATACGTCTTTTATGAAAGATACCACGCGAAACAATTCGTCCTACAAAAGTGCGCCAAGATATTCGCATGTAAATACGTGGGGTCAAGAAGAGACCGGTGACGGTAAGCCTATATTCATATCCAATATATACTTTGCGGCCTTTTTAATAGCAGCAGCGATTTTCGCTTCAATGTTCCAATTCTTGCGAGCAGAGAACTCAGTAAACAGTATTAGATTAGCCCAAGAGAGACATCATTTGCAAGCTAGTAAGGACCTGGCAAGGGCAAGACAGCGGGGGAAAAAATACGCTCGACAGAGGAAAGCTGCTTTGATGTTAATGTATAATCAATCAAACGGATATAAAGACAATAATAATATATGTAATAGCGGGCGCATCGTGAGTGATGATTTTAAAGTTTCCATCAATTCTTGATCGCGAGACAAGTTATTCATTTAAGAAGGGGAAGAAGGCGAAAACAACATAAAGTATTGTAGAGACGCGACAATTCATTTGACATGTTGTAGAATACAAAATTGATAACGTTGGAATCAAGGGGATGTTAATTCGATCCTTGTAAAGTTGTCATGTTCAAAACAGTATATTCAGTTCGGGATACAAAATATGTATCCTGAAGATGAGGTCATGTTTAATCTCTCGAACTGTATCTTGACTGACCTCCGCGCACTTTGAAACGTTGACAATCGGCGATGGCCTGTTGGACTAACTAAAATGTATTGGCCCGACACAATTATAGTAAATACCGCGGGCTTAAAATTCGACTATTATTTAATAATGTGCCTAAAATTAGGAAGCTCTTCGGTTGAAAATAGTTCCATGGCCCGCGGCCTACTGATACGACCCAGTGGACATGTTTGCAGATCATCCAATTTAATAGATGCAAAACCAAAAATTTAATTTCGAGACGATGTCTGCCTTTGCTATCTCCGCTTCAAAACCGATCATAGGAACTTTGGAATATGAGGGAGAGATATTGTCTGTCGACTTCACACTCCCAGAATACCACCGCGACGGGTCCTTGCGCCTTGCCAAGTACGCATATTACGCACATACTCCAGAGTCGACAGTCTGGAGAAATGATAAAGAACTGATAAATCTTGGCGAAGGCTACAAAATTCTCAAAGTGAAATACTGTGGCATATGCTCGACAGATTTAAGTAGGCGTTGGTTACCTTATCCTCTACCACAGGTACGTCAGAGTCGCATGAATTCGTAATTACACGAGTCTTGTCTCTCAGCTTCCCATTCGTTTAAAGATTACCGGACACGAAGTTGTTGGATTTTACAGATCAAAACCGGTTGTTATTGAAATAAATGCGTCACATAAAGCCCGTGGCATCGCCGATGGAACACGTATCCCCTGTGCATTTTGTTCATCTGGATTAGAGACTCATTGCCCGGATCGTGTGAGTATCGCTAGTTCTTTTTCATTATCGAATGTTTTTAAGCTCACGATCATTGTGTCTTTTTATTTTTTCAAGATAACTCTAGGTATTAACCAGTTACCAGGAGGCTTATCGCCTTATGTTATTGTCCCTAAAAACGCCATTAAATATGTACCTGAGAATCTGAGCCTGATGGCTGCAGTTTTGACAGAACCCTTTGCTGCTGCTTTACATGTATGTTGATTCATTATGACAATTGGAAGATTATGGAATGTGTAAAGACGAATATGATTTTCTAAAACAGGCCGTAGAAACTACACCGCCTAAAGAAGGCAATGAAGTTGCTGTGTTAGGCCCACGTAAACTTGGAATGCTTGTGCTTGCTGCTTTACATGGTACGTACTGACATGTATATTATTCGTTGTTGTTTTTTTTTTTGGCAACTATTTCACTTCTCTAATTGATTTTCAGCCTATAAAAGCAAACATAAGCTTAATTTCACAACTACGGCCATCTTCCGCAAGCCAAATACGCCCCATAAGCTTATTTCTCTGGCCAAGAAACTTGGAGCTGAGACCGATTTCTCATCTACAATGAGGGAAAGAAAATTCGATCTCCTGTTTGATACTTCAGGCTCGCCGGACGGGTTTCTGCGCGCGAACGATTTAAGTCGTGGTATTCTTCATCTCAAATCGACGCATGGACAGCAAGTGTGTGGCTTAAAACGAATGGCCGATTTCGTCGTCGACGAGCTTGCCCTAATCAGATTCAGCGAAGATAATCTTAGTTTCTCGTGGCCAAACGAGGTTACTCGTAGACGTAATCATAATATTTTGGTTTCTTCCAGTGTTGCAGGAGAAATATGTCACAAGATAGAAAAGACGGGACGTAACGTATTTGTGATGACGCCTGATGAAGCCGTCATATTCGTTGATAATTGGATGAGTCAGCTTCGAGAGGGGGGTAAAGTAGACGATGATCAACTGTTGCTGTCTCCCGTGCCTAGATTTGATTTAGCGGTCATAGGGCAACTTGAAGAGTTGGATCAAATCGTAAGACCGATAGAAGGCCAGGTGATGACGATGTTTGGTTTAATTACGCTTGCTAACTAGAGCAAATTCTCTGTTTTTTGGTTTCTCGACCAATTTGCTCACATGTTTCTTAATTTAGGAAACGACAATCCTTCGTCCTCGCGGTGCAATTCTGTACGCGCCTACATCAAACATAGAAACCAATGCACTCACCAAAGCTCTTGTTGAAGATAACATTACGATTTGGTCTACTCGCTGCGGAGATTTGGCAAGGGCATTGGAAGCACTATCATCTGATACTGAGCTGGCCGCTGTGCTTGAAAAACAGATGATTACTCACAAAGTAAACCTCAGAGATCTTGCCAATGGTTTTGAAATAGCATCAAGCACAGCAGACTCAGACAATCCTGTGATAAAGGTTGTAGTCGACGTGGACGTTGACTCTTAAGCTGTACTAAACGAACAAGGTGATACAGGAGTAATGATAAATTAAAGGAACGACAGTAATCTGCGCTAATGCTGATAGACGGGATCTCGAAGCAGTCAAGTAGTTTATTAAGCAAATCTCGCCTCAAACATAGGTTATTTACGAATGTCTCTCACAAACGTACCACTCATTCGAGAGAACAGTTACACTCGCGACAATTCACCTCCAGAGTGATCATGATACCCCGATTTAATTTAAAGAGCTGCTATATAAACAATACTATTTTAGCTCAGCCATTCGTTAGGTTACTGCTTCTGTATATCTAATCTGATTAAGTCATGGAGATATTTGAGTTTAAAGAGTTTGTTGATCCTGTGAAAGAGACTAATCTGCGCTAATCGGTCACTCCCTCCGGAAGAAAGACGTCTTACCACAATGGCTGGGGTTAATATTAACTACTATGAAAATAATTAAGATACAGTGTGTAACAAAATTAATTGCACAAAGTAATAGCGTAATAAATCACGTCATCTTTTTTGTTATAAAAGCATTTCTGAAAAAGGAAAGTCAAACACAATTTAAGAATCCATCACTTCGAATGCATTCTTCAAAAAAATCTCTACCAAATTGTTAATCATAATCAGTTATGTTTGTTACACTAATACTGTATTACTTGTACAGTATGCACGTATCGCTATAACCGAAATAAAGTTCGAGCAAGCCCGCTAAAAGATATAAAAGGGCTTCCCCCAAGCCCTTCTGTTCCCTATTGTAATTCCCTTGTCTCAAGTTGTCGTTGTCGTTGTCATCATACCATCGCAATGATCTTCCATCAATCCGTTGTTCTTCCAGTTAAAGTAACCTTATTTTATAAATATTTCCTGGGCTGGGTCAGTAAACAACAGAAAAGGAAATAGTTAGACAGAAGCCATTCATGTAACAATCAACCATAACAATGAAATTAGAAATTTATTTGTTATGCAAAGCAAAAGATTTTCCATGGACCAATTATCTTTGCCCAAGTTTAATCAATATTAATATGTTAATATTAAGGCCCTCACTTGTAATGTCGTAATGCAGATCTAATCTGACGGGCTGAATAACATAATAACATGTGACTCTGACACCCAATTTTCAACACAATACGTTTCTCTTTAGATAGTAAAGCACGTATTCCGGGGCAGTTTTTAATGGAAAATTCGGTCGAGAACGTTCTCAACTAAACTGTTTGCTGTATCAATTTACGCAGCACGAGATGTCTCTGAGCGTAGATAATCTTGTTTCCAAGGTACTACCGGGACACAATCATAATTGGCAGACCAATGTCTGTAAATAGTACGGCACGTCTTGTTTATTTCGTTCAAGGTTTTTGGGGATAATCAATCCATTGTGCCATGCAGTGACTGTGGAACTGTTGTTTTGCGTCTCGGCCCGAGAGCTTAGAGGCAATTGTCAGATTGTCACAACGAATAAGGGAAATAAAATAAAATACATTTAGCTTAAAAGGGTATAGGCTTCAGCCTCATCACAAAACACTCTCACGTTTATGTACTAATTAGACTATTTCCGTACAACTGTTTAACGAACACATAATCCTTGTCATCGCTTCCCCCACAGCAATGATAAATACAGTCATTCTCAAACATTGTCAATTCACGACTAACCGTCTGTCCATATTCAAATAATGTCCGTTAAAGGCTTTATTTCTGTTACTTTCGCTCTAGCTCTCCTCGTAGGATTATTAGTTGTGTTCCCAAAACCTTCTTCCAACGACAAACCCCCACAAGAACCTTCTCGTCTCACAGGATATCCTAGTTGGCATGGTGTGGTAAAAGGTATGTTATGCAATTTATTGTTCTTTCGTAGAAATAATTCACATAACTAATTCCTTTATTTTTTAACATCATATTATCGATAGGTAATGACCAACAGAAAGTTGATTCATTCGCAGCTTTCGATAGTATTGTGGCATTGGTCGCAGCTGTTTTAACCTTCAAATGGGCATACCTGGAAAAGATACCAAAGAAGGTAATGTCTTACTTCCATTCCGATGAGGGAACTATTCCAACAACTAGCTTGAACAGGTATGTATAATTTGTTAACTTGCATATTGGGGATGGCTGCAAGTTATTCATTCCGATTTCTTTCAGGTTCATCTCGATGTACGCTCTGGGTACATTTACGGCTGTAGTTGCTTCCATTATCTTTGATATCGGCAAGCTGTGGAGTGTGTTTGGTGCCTTACACAACGTATTTGAAGTAGCAATTTTACTGCTTATTGGTCAAAATGGCAAGATTAAGGGACACTCGTTTTACTATCTTTGGGGGACCTACTATCTGATAATCAATACCGTATGCATTATATTGAATTGGCCATTTGACGCCATATTCTTCAAAGTGCAAGGTAACCATCCATTAATGTATGCGCATGCTGGTCGTATTAGCTTCCTTTCATTTCCTCTTATACGAATTCTTGAAATTTAGGGCTTGCTGTGGATTATGCCGTGGTCATTGAATATACGAGAGTCTTCATCCACACCAAAAAGAACTTAAGTGAACATGACTTGCAACTTCCTCTCAATACTGACGAAAACAGAGATGACGATGATGTACCTGCCACATTTGCGATACACCATCCTAGACAATGGCTGCTGGTAATAGCTGCGGCTGGTGTTCATTTGATTGGCAACGTTCTCAACACCCTTTCTCCAAACGACGCTAAAACGTAAGTACAAGTTTTATTCTTCGTTTCGATCCCATCCGATTCGTTTCTAACGATTTTTTATTTATTACAGCGATCTTGCCTTCCAATTGTCGTACGCCATTACGTTCTTGTTATACCTCCTCTATGTCTACTTTGATACCCATACTATTAGTCCAGGCGTACCCAAGAGATTCTATTTGCCAGAGACTCCGGGTGCTAAAGTCGCTTTTTTGGCTATTATAAGTCTTTGGCTTTCTCTTTCTACATTAGCAGTTGGACTTGTTCTTCAGCAAAAGAAATAATCCACTTGTTAGTTTCCCATTGGAAATTTAAGTAATATCATTAAATCTGATGTACTCGATAATAATTATTCAATAACTGGATGCTCGATTAGTTATTAAACACCATTAAAATCCTATCGTTATGCAATGACGAATAATGAGTCTACCCACTGAATATTGAAAATTTCAACGCATATAATAATCGGCTGGAAATAAAGCGTAATCGCTGGAGGCAGCGGAATCAAACTACTCCTTTAGACCGTAACGTCCATGACTTAAGTTCACAGTCAATTCACGTATTCCATCACCAAATTCTGCACAACACTTCTCCGCCTTGAGTTACATGTTATTGCTTCATGAACACTCATGACTCCATCGTAGCGCTAATAATAGCGACTTCTCCAATCTTCAAGCCACCCACAAAATCCAGCCAAAAACCTCTGCAATTTTCCCACACTCATATAAACGCGCCTCGATCCTTTCTTTACTAACACAGCTCATTTTCTTCAAGACGGGCTCGTTCTGCCTGTATTTCAATTCAAGCCATAATCGGCGCGTGGAGATGTTCTCCGGTGTGTTTGACACAAACTCGTTAGCCGGCCCGCGATGATCACCCCGAGTGACCGAGGATATAAAACCTTCACGATAAAGAGCGTTACATATGGCAAGGTTCAATTTTTTGTCAGATACAGATATCGATCTTAATTGTGTTCGCGCAGAGGTCATGAACTGCCGGAATTTGTTGAACGAGTGTGATTTCTCTTGTGGCGGAGTAATAAATAGGGAAAGAATGTTATGGGGCAATCAGCAAAGGTAAGACGCTTAACGTTAAGATTGAAAAGTCTAAATTACACGAATATTAACATGGACATGACCAGCATTTTATTGGTTGGCATCGATAAAGGCAACACCTGTAAAAGTAAGGAAGCTCATAAACCCGTAATAAAAATCATATTTCACTGACTAATGTAATTAGCAATTACATCTAATTTATGACTTGTTCATCGTTTTTGGAAATAGGAAACTGTTCTTCGCTCATCGGTTTCGCGGATTCGTCAGAATACTTTACCATGTCAAGTATCTTGAAATTGAAATAGGTAATCGGTTAATTAAATGTTGAATGCTATCCTCGTTAACAACTTGTGCCTCTTCATTATTACAATATCCCTGTATTTGACTTTTCTTTAAACCGTTTTGAATTGTATTAATATTAACGTTACCCTACGCGCTTGCAATCGATACGATTGTTTCTACAATAGTAAGTTCAGAGATTTTTGTTCTTGTATCAATGCAAGATCATACGCATCGTTGGCCTTTAAGCTGATGCTGCTCATGAATGTAAAGTTTTATATGATAATCGATTCAGCAACTTATCATTATAAAGTAATATGGTCCGGTGCAAAAAGATAGATACAATTGATCGCTATCAAATCGTCTAGTTAAGGCTGTGTGCGGCTTAATTACTATAACTTTTTTAGACAAGTGAATAACCATCTTTATATAGTACATCACTTAACTTGTTTGAAAATGTCTCTATTCTCGAGCCAGCGAAGTGCTACTGAAAACGAAAAATAACGATTTTAAACGCTCACAAATACTTTTCATCTAAAAAACGTCAAAAGTTCACACTACACAAGCGTGTTGCTGAGGTTCTGGGGGTTTCAGAAAGTACAGTTGGGCGGGTTATTCATAAATGGAATGAGTGTAAAAATCTGCTCTAAAGTTATTGTTGGATTCTGGAAAGAGCACTTAACAATGCAAAAGAAAACGATGAGCATGTATATTTATCTAATGAGGAAACTGATGACGAATCCTTTTCTGAAGATAAATTTTTAATAAAACTTATATCAAAATGTTTCCGATAACTTGAAACTATTGGTAAAATCAGATTTAGAAAAAAATTTTCTTAAACATTTTATTTGCAATAATCTGGGGGTATCTATCTTTTTGCACCGGACCATATTAATATATATAATATTGCTATTAAATTCTCTGACTACGATGCCAGCTGATATTAGTAAAGCAGTAACCGAAGCGTTCAGTTAGTCATCCCACGCTCCCACCAGTCAACCTACAAAAAATTAACAAGCATTTTATCACAAGAACCTTAGTTCACGCCTTTTTTGACCATAAAAAATGTGCAGTCGAATATGCAAATATACACTGGACTAGTCGGGACCATAGTCTTTTTCACACTTTTGGTCCGTTATATCAAATTTTATTAATAGAACTTTAATATGACACGTATTAATTCCGGCAAACCATACTTGAGTTAATGACGACAGAGTTACGGCCGATAAATTTCGTGCCAGAGAAAAAGTCCGTTATAATAGTCTCCTGCGTTATCGCAAGTAATCTTCAAATATTTTTCGCCCTTATTCAATTTCTTTATTCCATCGAATACCATGCTTAGCGTACCATTAGGACCTTTTCCTATTAATTCGTTCTCACCGAGAACGTAATTAATTTGTTCGCATACCGCTTTATTTTGAATACCAAATAAATGCACTTTACGCAGAAAGATTACTATTGGAATTGGAACATGAACGTTTTGCGCTCAATCATAGCTGTAATGAACAATAGCATTAATGCTACAATAATCAGCCTTGCCTCTTGTTATCATTTAATAATTTTTTTTTGTTCTTTCTCTGATTTCGTATTCTCGTTGTAGTAGTTTCTTTTTAATTTAGCTTTAACTAAATGTTCTTTAAATTTTTTTAGTCTCTTGCTTCTTCTTTTCACAAGCATTATACTGTAGGCCGTTCCGAAAATGTTGGCACCTGTCAATAAATCCGTTCTTGAACGAATATAAGTCGTTAATTGGTGCCATAATTTGCGGAACACATATTTTAACAATTTCAACGCGCTATCGCTTTCAAGACCTGCAATGAAATTACGAACAAACCGATTTGTAACTTGTAAAAGTGTAAGCGACTGAGTAATGCAGTTGACATTTCTACCAGGACTTGGTAATCCATGAATTTTAGCATAGTTTTCGAGAAAATTTCTCACGGCGGTAGCAACGGTGATTTTGGTTTTTCATCGCGGTACTCGTTTAATATTACCATGAACGTGTGGTATTATACCATTCATTTGCTAAATCATTCATTTGCTAAATGGTTTCTGACATTTTCGAAGTGAGTACGACCGATTCCCAACATGTTGAGATACGTTTTTGACAAAGCGGTGTATAGCGATCTCAGTAGTAAAACGTTCGCTTATTAAGACGCGTTTTCATTTTAAGACGTCGACTGGCAGTTATTTCTCCGCCATTCATTGCTTTCAGTTGGGCCATTAAAAATATATCTTGTTCGGATCTTGAAACGCTTCACGCAATTCGGCAAACTTTTCTCTCGGAATCTTGAGAACAACCGCAATTGCAACTTAGCTCCAAGAAATGTATTTTCATATTCGGTGTAACCGTTATACTGTAATTATAATTTTCCATATATTAATATGGAGTAATCCTTTTATTACTCTCTTTTACTTTGTAATTTGTGATTTCCATTTATTACTAGTAATTTTTTTTTGCATAATGACATCACTGAGGCAAACTCTACATTTCAGGCAGCATTATAATTATACGACTCTGATCCGTTTGCATAGAGCCTCTTTCTTCTCTGTTGGACTCTTTTTGCTATTGAAATCAATTTGTTCTTTCAGTAACGTCCTAATAATTAAGAAAACTTTACGGACTTGTTTGCGTAATTCTTCATCACTAGTGCTTCGGTCATCTACACCAATTTTGAGAATATTGTGAGTTGTGGCAGCAACTCGGATTAGTGCAGAATCTAAGGCAAAGAGAACTACAAGCCACTCCACGCCAGTGGTGACTATTCCATAGATAGTATCGCTGTCATAGTCAGAATCATCAGAGTTCCTTTTTCGTTTTCTGATATTGTGCTGAAATATTGAAGGAAATCAGAAATCATCTAGAGAGTAGTATCAAAGATATGAAATATACCAACCTGTGCTGCTGCTTGAAGCTGAACTACATTTTGTGCCAAACCTTTGCCCAGTTCATTTACTTTTGTTTCAGTAATCCGGATTAATGTTGACTTGTATTCAATCGCATAGTCTACTGGTCCTTTGTCATGTGATCCAACGAATCTCAACTGCGGTCTCAAAACCGTTCCAGGTGGACAACCTGCAACAGCATTTATCATGAATGGTGAGATATACTCTGTCCGTGTAGCTTCGTTGACACCATGACAGAGAGGGCCAAGAGCTTTAAAACGTTTCTGACAGTGAAAATGACTTTATAAGTTGATTTGAAAAACAGCCAAAATATGTCCAAGTAACATATACAATGTCAAAACGGCTTGAACCTTGATCTCGTCAAAGAGTTCCTGTATCAATTTTTCGTCTTCATCGCTAGCATATTCAGCAGCTAACAAAATGACAGAATTTACTTAATATAATCCAAAATAAATGAATCAGAAGGATTTGGATTCAACTTACGGAAGTCTATTTGTGTCAAGTCGTCGATAGAATATACTGTGGGCAGATTAAACATTGTCAATACTCCATTAAGGTTGTTGTAAGTCGAAAAATCCCTTTGCGCTGAAGGAATTATAGATAGCTTTGGTTAGGTATAATATTCATGTATACTCTTGCATGCCTCACGACTTACATGTCTTGACACTGAAGCTCACACAAGGTAATTGGTCTGATCGGATTTTTTTCTGTTTCCACAACACCGACAAATGCTCCGGCTTCTCAATGGCATAATTACACTTTTCGGGTATAATACTTATTGTATTCGAGTTAACATCCGCCAACGCATCCCCATACATCTCTTTGATTTTTGTTCGTAGATAATCAAATGACAGATTCATATCCCACAAGAACTCTCTCTTCGCGAGAACGTAGGATGTCTTGCATAATATCGCTCCTTTATGGGTGGAAGAAATGAAATATACCGAATAAACGCGATGGATTTAGAGTCATATGAACAGCTTAGCATAAGAGATAACCTACAGCTATAGTGACGTTCTCCCAACAAAACTCACAATAAAAACCATATATTTACTCTATGTTCTCAATACCCGAGTCACGAAGTCGTTACCTGGTTGAGTAGTCAGTGCTTTCAACTGACGTTTTTTCGCCTCCAGCCTCCCCTTCACCTCTTCTATCTTCTCCAATTTTTCCTTGTCCTTGTCCGTGAGCTTCGCCTTATTCTCCAACTTAATCAGTTGCTGCCCACGTTTTCCCCTGTTAAACCTCTCCAATTCCGCTTGCGCGTTTCTCAACTCCTCTGTATCCTCCAACTTCTTCTTTGTATCCTCCAACTCCTTCTCTGTATCCTCCAACTCCTCTGTATCCACTAACTCCTGTCCTGCTTCTGCCATCTTGTTTCTTCGTTTGGGAAAGATGCTGCTGGGCGATGTGCGAGCTGATCAATAAATAGCTTAAACTCAATGACGTACGTATTGCTAGGAACTTTCTAGACCTTTCCGCAATGTAACTACAGTCGCACCTGACTATTTGCAGACTGTCGGGACCGGTAGATTTTTATGCAGCTACCAAATCTGTTTAAAAAGCAAATAATTAATATTAAAGAATGACCCAAAAAGAATTAATGAAGTGGTGTATTCCGAGTCTCTGAAATAAAGTTACGCCGCCACAATAATAATAAAATTTAGCTTAATCTGGTTGATCTCTCCTTTTGTAGTATGAGTTAGGGTCCATCTTTGATGCACGTTATGCAAATAGACAGGTGCGACTGTATTGTTCCCTGTATGCAGAATGTGACCAATGATAATCAATGTGCAGAAATTCGCGCAGCGTATGATGAACAAACGGGATATTTATTATAAAAACAGCACTTGTTAACTTACTTTAGAAATCAACCACAACGTAATAAAACAATACATCGTTTAAATTAATAAAATAATCTACCAATACACTACGAAAAATGCTTACATTACAAGTGAGTTCTTTTTATTGGCTTTGTTCTCGGCCTGTTGCTTAATGGCATGAGTTTAATAGTCAACTCCGCAACATGGGAATATTAACTAACAAGTCCAACAATTATCAATAACTAAACCATCGGCGAACAAAATTTATTCACCAGATATTGAAATTTATAAGTTGCTTTGGTGAAGGAAAAGCTGTTGCAGCGTCTACAATACGAAGTTTTTATCTAAGAAGAACAACTTGCAGGAAAAAAAATCCATTATGGCAATTCAACGAAAGATGTGTACAGATGGGGATAATAAATATGAAATAGATTATAGTAGTAATATTATTATAGTAAAGAAGATAATGAACACCAGAGTGAACAAAGAATAGGTTATACTCATAAGCGGTTTTGGGTCCAAGTATTTTCCTCCCATGCAATCACTCTGGTGCTATTATTAATATTTATATTTTCAAAAGCATGCTATAATAAAAATATTTACAAATATTAAAATTTGTTGTGTAATTTTGACTCTTTGGTTGTATGTGAACAAAAGCTCAACAAATGTGCTTAAGCTGTCTTTTATCATGACTATAAGGAACAATATTTTATTGATAAGCCGCGAGGCCTTGGTGAGCTTTACATTAAACTGCTTTCCCTTACCTGTCTTCTAACTTTCGTTTCTTTCTTGGTTCATCATAAGTTGGTGGTAGTGAGTCATTTATTTTTCGTTCTTCTTGGTAAATTTCGCAAGTAACTTTTTCTTCATATATTCCTGGAGAGTTTGGGTATCATTGATTTTAAAAACGTATGGAGTAATTTTCTTCTTGAGCTTTTTTTGGAATGCTTTTCAGTGAGGAAACAGCCAAATCACAAACAAAGGAATTGGCGAGTGAGGTAAAATACAGCGTAAAGAGAAAATTCTTTGTAAATTATTGCTATATTTTTTCTTTCAGTGTTTAAGTTTGATCCCGTTTATAATGGTTTTGAAACAGATTGATTAAATCTAGTTGTGAAAGAAAAGTATTCTTCGCTGTTTTTTCAGTTAGAAGCTGACGATGGTAATAATGAAACCCCAATAGTGAGTGTTCATGAAGCACTAAAAGTTGTGAAGACATCCTAATTCAATTCTTAGGTAACAATTATATACATAAAGTTGGCTGGAAAGTAAAATCTGTAAATCATCAAATGTCTTTCCTAATACTAATAGAGATACCCTCCTATAAATGCGGTGTTGCATTCAGATGGGGTAGGCTAAAGCGGAGTAAATCAGTATTGGTGCCATACATGGATATCATGTGATTGAAACTCGCTTGTTTCGAAACACCAAGTTACGCGTCAGTTTTAAACAGACAGTTTCAATACATCAAATTTAGCGTTACGGGTATGTTGAAACTCTTTGTTTGTTACTTTCAGACGAGGCTGGAATAGTCATTGAAAATACATGCAGTTAGACATATGTTTGAGCGTTCGGTGATTGAGTTACGATCATGCTTACATGCTGTTTGTACATTCATTTACGCCGGTAATGAGACATTAGGAGACGTTAGAACTGTTATAGAAGAAGCATTTAATTTCATAATAAATTGAGTATGGTATTGATGGCATTTTGAATCACATTTGCCATGTTTAACAGCAGATGACAGAGTTGTAATAATATTATTCATTTGAGGAGGAATAGCGTTGACATTAATATGTTGGAGATTAATATACTTTCTTATATATATACGTTTTATTTTATCAATACCTTTTCAATCATTTTTGAATGTTTCTTTACATTCAGTTCGTGTTGTTAGGGTAATTATAAAAGAAAAAAAAACCCGATTTACAAATGCATGAAATAATATTCCTATTTCTATTACTATTCCTACGCATCATCATCTTTTGATCATAATCAGTAATCGAGTCATTTGATTATTTTTCTATTAAAGAGTGAAACGTGTCAGATTGAGTCTCGTGGAAGCAAGGTTGGAGATTTTCTTAATTTGTCGTTTTGGTAACATACCTTGCTGAGGAGTGGTGTCATTAGAGACATCATTGGCAGAAGCAGTCCTTGCTGCAATTTGTTTTCGTTTATTTCTGGTGTTGGGAGATGACAATTACGTTAAATATCTCTGTTACACGGATAAAAATAGATGATCGGAATGTTTTGCATCTCATTATTATTATCATACTGTACCTATAAATACTTGAATTCGTTGCTTTATCCTGCGAGAATATACACCTTTATAAACCATGCATGATGCTTTCAAAGTATCAGTTGCACTGGACAACTTATCCAGGATTGACACTATATTCGCTCATGGTAACTTTAGAGCGCACAACTATATTACTTGATAGGTTTACTTTCGTTTTAATTCAGTGTTCTCTCCCTTAGGCAACAAACTGCTCGTAGGATCAGCAGGTTCTTTAATGGTATATCAGGTGGAAGACCCAACAGGTATGTTCTATTCAGACACGGCTTATATCGATCAACCACTGTTAACTCGCGATTGGACCCTGTTATGTAGGAGACGATCCGTTGGAAGTTACCCTAATCGAGACACACAAGACTTTCTCAAAGCGTTCCATTGATCAATTAGATATCATTAAAGAAAGCAATGTCTTGGTCGCGCTTGCAGGTAACAAAACTGGATGGTTTGCTGGAACCTTGTGGTCAAATTGCGCAAACTTGGCATTACTGACACGCAATTACGTATATTCAGACGGAAGCATCAGCTTATTTGATCTACAAACTTTCGAATTGCAAGAGCAACTGTCAAAAACCCGAGGAGCTAACATTTTTGCGGTTGACACACAAATCGTGGAAGAAGGCGTCCCTGTAATTGTGACGCGTCTGGCTGTGGGAGTAAGAAGAAAATTAGTAGTTTTCACCTGGTGGGACGCAGATCTCAATGATACAAAAGTAAGAAGTTTATCAAACAGAAGTTTAAGATTGTGTTTTTACTTATCTAGTGCGTACGTAACGGACTAAACTTTCTGTTCGTTTTTGATTGACCAAAACTCTAGGAGATATCAATACCAGACAAAGTGCGCACGATGGTATGGGTAGGCCTTAACAAACTTTGTCTAGGATTCCCCAGCGAATACGCATTACTGGACATCAAATCTGAAGTGCTGCATGAATTGTTCGCTACAACCAGTTCGCCGACTGCTGGTGCATTTACGTCTTACGGCATTATGGGCATGTCCATTGCAGGTCGAGTCAGTAAGCCGTTGATTACTAAGCTGCCAAATGACGAGATTCTTTTGGCGAAAGACAGTGCGTATATTTGAATAACTGTTATTCGAAAGAGGATCGCTCGTGATACCTTTGATGGGTCGCTTCGGATTGTCGAGATTTTCTCAATCACTTTAATGTCGTTGCCATGAGCCTGAAGGGAAGACGGGTATTATATACCCTTCGTATTATAGAACTGCATCTACCAATTTGTTCTTGGCATGTAAAATCTTATTACTCGGTGAATGAGAAGAGATATCGATGATTTTGGTCTAAGGCTCATCAGACTTATTACGAGTTTGAAAATCACGTCGGAAATATATTGATTTGATTATTTTAATGTTCAACAAAGATGTCAGCATATTTGTCGGCACTGACGGAAAGCCAACTCGTGAAACAGGAATAGATTGGTCAGGAGCTCCGGAAGAAATAGGTATACGTCTATAAAAATATTCGGATTATTGTTTGTGAACTATTCAGCTCATTTGGCTATTTTTGAAGGGTATTCGTATCCATACTTAATTGCAATACTCCCGAAGCATGTGGAGGTTCGGAACATCCTCACTCAGACATTGGTGCAGACCATTGAGCTGCTTCAGGCTCGATTCATTAATGCTGGAAAATACTTGTATATTGCTAGCCATAGCACTGTGTGGCGTTTTATTCCATACAACTTTGAGAAGCAGGCAAGGAATGAACCTGTAGCCCACTTTTTTGAAGCAGAATCCAACGGTTTTGTTTACAGTAAATATTCTCGTTCCACTAGATTGATCAATTAGTTAAGCAGATGGAATATGTTGAAGCCATCAGTTTGACTACACAAATTGACACGATATATTTACAGGACAAGGTAAATTAGTTGAGTGATGTAAGCCTTTGATAGTGGGCAGGCCCGCTCCTTTGTTTTCTCGCGATAACTTGGATGTTATTTGCTTGTAGGAGGCTAAACTGAAGTACATAAGAAACCTTCATGGTCACCATCTTTTCCAACAGCACAAGTTTGAAGAAGCAATGTCTATATTTATAGATCTTGAGGCAGATCCTAAAGAGATTGTTGCATTATATCCTCCGGCCATTTCTGCGTCTCTTCGTTCTGATAGTAGTTATAACAAGGAATTACACCTAAACGGCTCTGCGAATAAATTAATGAAAGACTCAGAAGAGCATGCGGAAGCTGAGAAACATGGTGAAGAGATAGAAGTGGTGTCTGATTCGAAGGCAATCATACAGAACGACAGCCAATTGAGTACGTGATTAATTTGTCAATTTCTATATTGTCTATGAAAGACTTTTAACGATTTGTCACGTTTGGATTTTGTAGAGGGCAAAGATTTGGAAGAGGCAATAAAGCAACTTATACGTTTCCTGACCGACCGACGCGCAAAAGTGCACAAACTACTTCTACAGCGTCAATCATCAAAAGCCCCTATCAAGGAAAACGAGGATCGTTTAACAGAACTCGCTGAATTCGTGGAGACATCTTTATTAAAGGCATACATGATTTCTAACGATTCCCTCGTGGGATCGTTAGTTCGCGTCAAGAATTTTTGCAATGTAGAAGAGACGGAAAAATTGTTGTCTGAACGTAAAGTAAGTCAATAATTACTCTTTGCGTACTCATCAAGAACTGCATTGTTTAAATTCAATTTTCGATAGAAATATCGCGAGTTGGTAGAATTTTACCACGAAAAAGGTCTTTATCGCAAATCCTTGGGATTGTTAAAAAAGTTGGTTTTGTTATCTCAATAAGGCGTTTGTATTATTGGTAGGCCTTGGTCTATTGAATATTCATCAAGTGTTTTTATTATTACAGGCTTGGCGAATCTACTGAAGGACCAATGAATGGCACATTTCAGACAATACAATATCTTCAAAAACTTGGTTCCGACCATTTTGATTTAATTTTGGAGTTTGCCACATGGGTATTAAAAGCCGACCCAGTTGATGGCATGGAGGTGATGTAATAAGTTTACCGTTTACGGAATATTATATGCTGTTACTGATTCGTTCTCACGCATATAGATATTTATCGGTGATCACCCTAAAGTTGAGACATTGCCGCGAAGCCAAGTATTAGATTATTTGGAAAAGTTTTCGCCAGATTTATGTATCACATATCTTGATCATATTATTCATGTACTTGGTGACAAAAGTCCAGATCATCATAATCGGCTGATATATGCATATTTGAACAAGTTGAAAGATTTGAAACAAGAGGGTATGTTTACTGTTAACGCTTGCTACAGTGACCAAAGCCATCTAACAACAATTGTTTAGGTGCGGAACCCGTAATCGTTGAGGAGGCGAATAAGAATTTCTTACAGTTTCTGGAAGAATCTTCGTATTATATAGCGGAAAAAATTCTAGGACATTTACCCATGGATGGTATGCATACTGTTAATGTCTTGATGAATCTGCTGAATTTGCCTAAAGTTTTTGTTCCACGCCAGATTACTATGAGGCGAGGGCGATACTTTTGAGTAGACTTGGTCAACATGATCAAGCATTAAATATTTATGTGCACAAGTTGAAAGATGAACAACTAGCTGAAGAGTATGTTGATAAGCGTTCGATATGAAACCATGTTTCGAATGATTAAGCGAACAGTTTGCTTATTATACTTTGTAGATATTGTCTGAAGATCTATAATGAGGCTAATGAGAAGGCTAAGAATGTTTTCTTGTCTTTGTTGCGTGTCTATCTGCGACCGAAAGCCGGGGAACCAGTGATGATAGAGCCAGCAATACGCTTGCTTTCTCGACATGGAGCTCATGTCGACGCATCCAAGGTATAATTCTTCAATTTTTGGCATGTGTGTTATTCTGCAAACTTTAGTACAGCGATTCATTGACAATGTTGTAACCGAACAAGGCTTTGGACATGTTGCCATCTTCGATAGAAGTTGCTCAACTCTATAAGTTTGTCGAGAAATATATAAGGGAGAGCAATCGCAATCGCTGCATTAATATTATTGTGAAAAACCTATTGAAGGCCGATCAATATCAGGTACCATTCCTAGCGCTCCAATCTGTTTTCAAACTGTTTGCTCACTCTGATTTGGCGTATAGGTACAAGAACAATTATTGTTCTACCGATCGCGCCGAGTAAAAATTGATGATGATCGCATGTGTCCTCAGTGTACCAGACGAATTGCACAAAGGTTAGCTATAACGTATTTATTATCGACGAAAGCAAGTTCCTTTATATGACATCAAACTAAACCATTTATCATTTTTAGTGTGTTTGCCGTTTTTCCGAATGGAGTGGTGGTTCATTATCATTGTAAAGACAAGGTAGGAACGCTATTTGTTGTCACGAATATGTTCATACGCGTCGCTAATGAATATGTTTTCTATCGATGTCCAGTATTCGCAGTCTCACGACACTGCAGCATAAATCCCGCGCAGGTGAGTTTACAGTGTTCATCCTATTAGTTATTCATGAATTGCTAGTTTCATTTCCTACTTTGTCGGTTGGGATCATCAGAGGAGAAAGACTTGGATAGAGTGCTATGTGAATAAACAGCCAATTGTTTGTATTTATTGTTAAATAAACATAGGAACAGAAATGATATAATACGCAATCACCAGTGATTGAAGTGATCGATGAGACTGCTATTCATCGGGGGTGACTATATTACTTTGCGTAAATCCTGGAAAGCTTTCTGCTCTACACTTGTGTTCTTGAGCGTAGCAAGGATTTGTTTTTTAACAAAAATGGGTAGACTACGAATACTCGTTTCTTTCAAGTTGACGAGGTTGCCTTGTTTCTCAAATCAAAATAGTTCCGGATCATGATTCATCTTCACGTCAGCATAAAACTTACAAGTTTTTGACGATCAGAATTAACTGTCAGTGTATCGTTTATGAAATAGTATAGCGCGGAAAGTTCTTCCGCTGCATTTTGGCATCGAAAGTCTTCAATATTTACAACAACGTAATTTAAATGCCTCTATTATGATTGACGGGATGGGCTATCGTATGCCTCAAGACATCAATTTCAATAATTGTGTCTAATAATTCACGGATCATATTGATCAATGTTAAATGACCGATCAATAAATGAAAAATATATATTTATAGACATATATACACCATTGACGGCTTCCGGAATTGATAGCGTATATTGATGTCGCCTTCATATTGTCGAAATTCCACGCTTTTCGACTCACAAGCAGGTTATATCATTATATAGAAAAAAGAAGTAGCTGTATCCTCTAAATGTGTAAACTTTCAGAGTATGCATTTCACTACTCGTTATATTCAACAGCGCTAGTGTAACACAGAGACCTTTTCAACAACCGATCAAATTTGGTAAAGTAGGAGCATAGTTCTCAACAGACTTTCCTAAATCGAGTATACTGTATTTACTATATGGGAAGCTGTTATTAGATTTCTTGAGATATTGTCTACACGTTGTTAGTGCAGAAAACTTCAGCTTTCGTTTCTCAATGTCGGCATGGCATCTTTTCCAACTTTTCTTGCCGCCTTTGTAGTAACGTTGCCTTTCCGGCCCACGTTTATAATGAACGTTTGTCTGGCTCAAAAATTTCTTTAATGCATTTTATATTTTCTGATTGAGAAATGAGTTTATCCTTCGGCGCTCGCGATGAAAGGTCTTTTCTAAGGTATTGTTGGCATATCGCTTGTAGATTGCCTTACCACCAATCGCCATAAAAAATTCCCATATCCTCAACGGTAGTTCTCTCAGATATATTGGAAAAATCCGTAAAGCTTCACGAACGAAACAAATCAGTTCTCAAAATTTCTGCATAGTAATAGGGCTCGGTAATTGAAAGCATTGTGCTTGGCGGGATTTTTGAAGACATTTTTGTTAAATAAAAATTTTATCCATCAAACTGCGGAGGAAAATTTTTTACATAAGCCGTTTTCAAATAAATTTAACATATCTTAAATTCTGGACAAGGCGGTTTACAAGTAAGTACTATTACGGTTACGGGTGTAAAGTTGACACGGTTAAGCCTCCATAAAAAACCCAGTCAGAATGCCCGGATTATCTTTTGTTTTATGACAATCTTAGCACATTACAAATTTCTTACGAAGGCAGATCGTGTTATTTGATGGACGTTTACATTAAATAGAATTTTTGCTTTATGGTATTAATCAGCATAAAAAATTGAATATACTAGTAAAAATATTGGTTAACTGCTACTGCGGATAGTAAAAAAACAAGTATATAAGCAACTGTTGTCCAAGTGGAATTCGACCAAGTACCTGATGGTATAACTCATTGCACACAAAACGCCGGTTGTTCAAATATTCTCTACTCCATACACTTAAGTCTCGCTGACTGTTATTGTTGACCCTAACAGAGAAACTTTATTACAACAAGTTTAAAGTACATTAATATGATTGTTGCGCGAGTTGGGAAAGAGGAGTTCCACTATAGCAATAAGGCGACAAGCTTAGCCGTGTTTAATATGGCTCGTTAATCTTTTTCCCGACAACAAAAAACTAAGCGAGCCTTTCATTGATGTGAGCAAAAGTTTAGAGACTAGGCTGTCTCTTGCTGAATGATAATAAGTTTCTCTCAAACCTACGGGCGATTTGTGAAATAATTTACTGCGCGGCGCAGCCTTACAAATAATTAATACTGCGCCTCAATTAATTGTATACGCTTTCCCTGAAACACGTATGATTTTCATGTCCCCGCATTCCGATCGACAGGTAAGATGTATGTCATCTTTTTGACGTTCACCCGAAGCAATACGGTTTAATTTTAATGCTGGGTTTAGATCTTTTGACGAGTTTTGGTTTGCAGATCATTTCCTGTTAGAGTCTTCACGTGTACATAACACAACATTCCAGTGGACACCCCCATAAAAGCAAAGCCGTTATGAAAGAACTTCTAAATACCGATACCACATGGTCTAACCTTAAAAGGTAAGAAATTACTAAACTAACCGGTATGGCCTTTCGACAAATTAAAATCAAGTTTCTTGACCAGTTAGGGGCTAAAATAAAAATGTGCATAATAAGCTGTTTACCGTTATAGCCATTGTTCGACTTGCATAATAGATTGCGATCACCTGACTTACATTTTTTGATGGGTGCACACCCGTTTTCTTTCTGCGGTGAACTTGTTGAAGCGAAGATATTGGTGATTATATTTTAACTGATAAATCGTTCATATGTTTTGCCATACGTAGGCGCAGCTGCTAATGAATACATCCCCATTTACAAGTACAAACCGCAGTCTTGTTGAACACATAAAATAGACACATCCCTACAAGACAGATGTTATTTTTCACGGACATGACAACGCAAAGCGAGAAAGAGACGCGATATCTCTGCTCCATTTTCAACGGTCTTACTCATATAATACGGAGTCCAGAATTTTGTGAGGAATGTGCTAAATACAATTTGGTCGTTTTTGACAACTTCCAGCATGTTGACAAAACGCAACTGCCTCAAGGTTTGACGAACAGACCTGTAATATTGAAGGATAACTGGACGTTTACCATAGTAGCTAGTGGGTATGTTGCTCCACTACCGATATTACGACGGCCATCATATACAGAAAATACATGGACTGTGCCCATTAATAGTGTGTTGTTGCACGGCGTATTCAAGGACATGGGCTGGCCCAGTATACCGACAACAGAGGGTCTAGGAACGTTCTTACAATATATCGATTGGTAAGAAGTTTCTCTCTACATAGTCAATTTTGCTGGTTTTGACGCCTTATTTATATCCATTGTATCTACATCGGCGAATTCAGCTACTCTGAGTTTCCTGGCGTAGGGAAGATACTCGTTGATCTGGATAATGTTGTCTACGTATCGGCTCAAAGCTGCATAGTACCTGCTTGTCCAAAGCAGAACAATCAAACAGATTTTCACTTCCAAGCCTTTCCTCATCCACGACTGCAAAGTGAAGCCATATTATCTATCGTCAGTACACACGAAGGCACTAGCATACAATTACTCGATGTTGAAGATGACATGCAACGCAGCCAAGGTGGTGGATTTTGTGTTCTACGCAATCATAGACGGGAGGCAAGATCTTTTACAAGTCCGATCCGAAGTCTGGAAAATAGTAATTTGCTGGAAAGTTTTGTCACTTTAATCCAGATACCGTTGGTTTACGAGGGAAATCGTCCTAAACCGGCAACCATAGTACGTCCAGGAATATTCCCTGAATTGGCCAATAAAACAGGATATAGGAGAGATCCTCGGCTGCCGATTCACGTCACGATCCAATTTTATGGCATGACCGTCAATGGACAAACAAGTTCAGAGCATCTGTCTATTCTTAGTAATTGGATGTATGCAGCACAGCAAGCACGAGAGAGTTTTTGGGAGGAATGGGCGAGTTACTGGGGGCGCAAAATGCAAGAAGTACAAAACAACGGCTGGGAGAGACTCACCGCAAGTCAACCTTCTGATATGCGTTCCCTGCTGAAAAGGGACATGAGTTGGATGCCCACAAACCGATAAATTCAACAAAAAGACTATTCGTACATAGCAATGGTGGTGTTCACGGTTTAAACTTGTTAATATATTAATAATTTGGATTTTTTGAATTTGGTTACAACTGGGAGGGACACACTTATTAAATAAAAGCACATTCAATGTACATTTTTCTACGATGGCAGGTGACCATTTTTATTTTGAATCATCTTGTATTGTGTTTCGTTACTTGAACCCGCGAGTTGATTGCCATGTTCCTGTTGTATAGAGATTTGCTTGACTCGAGATCAGCCCAACATATAATGTTCAATGGCTTAGACATTGGATCATGGAGACCAAAGACAATTATTATTAATGCATTAAAACTATTCAGTGTATACGCGATGTTATCTGACGCTCGAAAATTTGTGATTCAATTATATTATATGAGTTACTCATTATGATTATTGCTATTACTATAATTAATGAATATGGATTGTTGACAAAGTATAGACAATCTGAAAACGTATATCTTGGCACAAGTACCACATACGTAAGAAACATACTTGACCATATGAATTATAAGCTTACAAGAAAGCATGTTCAAAATATTATGTGGGCATAGAAATCATATCGAACATTATCGTAAGTACAATACAGTTATGCATATGACATTACCTAACTCTATTCTAATCGTTCTCATGGCTTTATCCCTCTTATGTCCTGTCACTTCCCTGTTCATTATTAACCTTAAGTTTTCGTTTAAACGCGCTGTATACACGTGAGATATCATATGAAGTTATCCATCCCGATGGCCAGAAAGAGAGAAGCTATTATCATATAATATGAATTAGTGACGCGATGAGATGAGGAAAGAATAACGTAGCGTGCACGTAATATGAATGATATGATTACCCGTTGATATAATCGCTTTCGCATAGTTTGTTCCGACAATCGCTCTGATTTCTCTTCTGCCTCACTGTTGGCGTTAAAAATTGATGTACAAGATATTAGGATAAATCGATTTTTTCATTCATTATGTCACAAAGTTCATCAGATAATTCAACCTACACGTACTTTAGTTCATTCTGCATTGCAGTCAAATCCATTTCGATTTTTATAACCTTCCACAAAAGTGATTTTGTTGCATCATCCCACTTAAACTTTTTGCTCACTTTTCCAAAACCGTCACTTCTATCATCGCTTCCCTCTCCAGCATCTGCATCAATATCATTTACGTCATTATCAATTATGGCGTCAACTGACATTGCATTGTGAGTTCCGTTATGCGTTGTGTTTCCATTCGGCGGCGTAGGCGTTACTGTCCTCGAAGGAGAATTGCCACAACCATCCGAATTAAAAGAATTTTCCGAACGAAAAGATCCGGCTTTTTGCTCGTTATATCGTTTGATAAGATTAGGAATTGTTGTATCAATTGCTATTTTCAAGTCGGCTATTAGTTGTTCTTTCGCCTGCTCCAACTCTTGTATTTTCATTGGGAATAGAGTACGTTTACACAGGCGCTATTTGTTGAAAGTCGAAAGTAGTTAGGTATATGCTTAAGTTAATAAACAAAGTTGTAGCATATAATACAGAGGATTGTAAAGCAAATGATGATACCGTGACAGTGAATTTGTTATAAGGCAGTAAATTCGTCAGAGTTTTGAAAAAGTTCTCGTTAAACAGCCCCATGTCGTACGCCTTCGCCGTTGCAATTAGTAGGGTTGGCTTTAAGTTGACAGGGAATTTTGATTTGACTTCAAAACTCTCTGGAAATATAAAAAGTCAATGTAAGCTAACATTTTTGCTGCACTCAACATTACAGACACAGACAGACCTTTTGTAATCGCGTCTTTAAACAATTCAATGGCTGATTGAAGCTCTAGCGGGAGAGATTCCTGTTAGGCACCAACCAGAATTCAGTGAGTCAATTACTTACTGTATGCAGAATTATTTGATCATAATCTTACTAACCACAACATAAGTCTTTTTTTTCTTCCCAGATGTCTTCATGACCTCAGCCTGAACAACGGGAGTAGACGGTTCACCGAAATCAATTATAGTCTCGCCTGTTTGGTTTTGTGATCCGCCTCCAGCCGTTGAAACGAATTTCGTTATCAAGCTTTGCGTTTTCTTTTCCGGATCAGTTGAAGATTTATCTCTCTTTTGCTTACAAGGGGAGGGTGTCGCGAGCTTGTGTTCAGAAATAGTACTATCTGCTTTCTTGGAAACGCGTTTGCGGGGGCGAGGCTGCTTAGACTCCTCAGGCGAATTTATACATTTAGTTCTGACTCTTCTTTTTGGCTTTCCCTCGCCATCTCTATGCAGAATGAAGAGCAATGGCAATTCAATATAAATGTGTTATTGTGAAGGAGAATGCAAAGATTACGCGCGAGACGCTTAAACAGCTAAAGACTCTGTACTCACAGCATTTCTAAGTCATTCTTTGTCAAGGGTCCCTTCCAAACAAAAAATCCGTCTAATTTTGGTCGCACTTTCCTAGCTTGACGCTGGGAAGGTACCAGATCGCTGTCATCGATAAAGGGATCGCTCATATCGTACATTTCAGTTCTAGGCCGTTTTTTTTGCGGCTTCTCGGACTCGGCTTTCGCTCGCTTCAAAAAATAATACCGTTAAGAAACGTATCACCCCAAACGCGTCTGCTTCTCCATTATGCTTCAATGTTGCACTTACTTCATCTTTTTCCCTTCTTTCCGCGTTTTCTAACAGCCTATTAAAAAATGCATCACTCTCGTGTGTTCCTGACGCCAAGGGTGATCCGAACGGTGAATCTGCCGGCAAAGGGAGAGAATGATCTGGGGTTTTGGAGCCAGGTGAAGGAGGAGGAGTAGCGTCCGAACCAGACACGGGTGTGTCTGAGCCGGACGGAAATTTCTTCATTGGTGTTGGTGGTTCCAAACCTTCCTCACGAAGTAGATCGGGAAAATAAACTACATTGTTGTCAGGCTGCAGAAGAGGCACATCTAGTCTAATTATCCGAGGGTGCTTTTCAGGTTGTGTAGCAGATAAGAATCCGAGACGAGTGTCGAGATCAGATAGATCTCGTTTTTTCTTTGAAGCTGACGAAGAAGAGTCGGTTTGTACTTTTGTCATTATCCGGCCAAAAAAAAAGACTTACTAATTATAAATGAGAATTGTCCGTGGAGTAACAAACATGGAAGAGCAAAGGTATTCGAGGTACACGGGCTGTTGGTGGGAGAATCAAAACTTGCGTCAAGGTGAGAAACACGATCTGTCTATTTACCGAGAATTCCCATGTAACACAACGACCGAGATAAAGGATCGCCTTGTCATAATAGTTGGTAACTTTGTGCGATGTCGCGGAAGCGGTTGCGAACCGAAGACACTGATCAAACGGATCAGACGCCTACAGAAGCAGTCAATGATAATATGCCTTTACTTCCCAGACGTCTTGAGTTGTCTATTCTTGGTGGGAGACCAGTGAACGATCTTGTAAAAGTAGTTAGCGATTTTCTGTACAAATATATAAATGAGCCCAATATAGAGGTATGGGTGTTAAATCGCAGCGATGTTCAAATAAATGAGTTCTCTGACTCCTGCTTTATGCTTATTATTCGACTTTATTACAAGATTGAAGCCAAGTTAGGTGTTCTCATAGATAAGAACACCAAAAATCGATTATTCTTACCTGTAGCTTGTGAGGCCGGTTAGTATTCGCTTTGCAATTCGAAAATCTTTTGGTTCGTTCTTATTGATTGATGAGATGCTTAAATTTACTAGTTTTATTTCAGTCATTGACCCAAATGATAGTCTTAATTCGCGGCTCACCTTTTCGAGCGATATGACACTGGTACTCTATGAACTGTTGCAATAGTTTTCATCAAAGTGAATGGCTGATGAATGAACATTGGCACTATTTCACTGTTGGTGTTATGTAAATTATTATTATTTAGGAGCAGCACAAAAGTTTTAACGAAATACTGAATAAGAGATTTTCAGAGACACACGATAGAAACTATCAGGTTGAGTAAACGTCCCAATTCTGGCGTTGAATAATATGTTAGGAGCTATTGATTCTTATGGTATCGATTTATATATATGGATATATATTTTTTTAAATTTACAAGGGAGCTAGGATGACGTATATCCATACAAAAGATACGGACAGGTTCTACAACATAGAAAGAGGTGGGCGAGTACGGGTTACTACGCGTAAAGGGCAGGTATATGTATTAAATTTGGTGTCCATAGGGAGTGATTGGCTATGGCTATTGTTGACTCTATATTGTAAATGCAAATATTTATTAGGTTATAGAAAACGGTATAGTCGAAAAGAGTCGCTTGGCTAATCTTAACATTTTCTCGCCAAGAACGCGTCTTGATTATAGAATAACAGTGAATATTGAGACGCCAAGTGGGTATCATTACATATGAAAGGGTCGGTTTTTCGAAAAATTTGCAATGCTAATTTCATCATTTGAAGGAGAACTGCCAACTGGACGGCATCACTACGAGCGTATCAAAGATCGGATGAGCTACACTCACCAAATATTTAAATTTGATTTGACGCAAGTGACAATTCCAGAGACTAAAAATGCGGTCAGTATAACACAAGATTATGACCCGGGACGGTTCAAGGCTTAACTTTTCGTGAAACTTTCCATTGTGTATGTAGAGCGGACGAGATCCAAGGTCTAATAAGGAGTTGACTCACGAGTTGGAGATAGAGTTCATCGATCCACGAGTACTATTGATAGAAAGACAGAATTTTGAGAAAAAGCGGCCTGATAGGTTCATTGAGATCGTCGAAATATTTTTGAATAATATCCAGCAATTGGTACAGTATGCGGGATAAATCCTATAATAAATCACTTTTACTATACAATAGACGAAACATTTCGTATTAAGAGGGAAAGATGACTTTGTAATGGTATATCCATTCTTGGCGAGACTTTTTATTATTAGGTTGTCACAAGATTAGCGTAACAAATCACGATAGTAATTTGGTTCTGTACAATGACGAGTACACTCACGATAGACATGATGTATAACTAAGATAGTCATATTAATTTGATTGAATCATTAAACACAATTAATTACAAAGAATCAACTTTGTCTATCCGTTCTCATGTGTCAGTACGAATCCATCCAGCACTCTGTCCCTCCGGAGTCTTGTCAAACAGTTCCAAAGTCAAAGCACTTAGAAAGCATGGAATGGATCCACGCTCACTCACCCAAAACTTTCTCAAGTGCTCCAGACTTCTTATGTAATTTTCATTGCCTCCAATTAATTGCATAGTGCCATGATTATCTTCGTCAGACGTAAAGATGAAGGAATGTTCCTTGTTCTCGGAATACGTCGACGTTAACCGAACACTTCCATTCTCGAGAAAATCAAATCTATAGCCGAGAAGACTGTAAACAGCTTGCCTATATTCATTAGCTTTTGCTTTCCATACCTGTACACAATGTTAAATAGATAAGTCGCTATGAATAACAAAATTCTTACACAAATATTACTTCGTACCTCCTTCAATCTCGAAATCATCTTTTCTTTCTCTGCGATTTCTCCCTGCAAACGCGTTTCCAGATTCTTATAACTCTGAGTTGGTATAACATCAGTTTCGTCCATATTTCGATCGCCACCCGCGCTTGCGACCTCTGCTTGTAGCTTTTGCAGAGTTTCAAGTAATTTCTTATTTTCGTTTGTTAAAGCGGCAAGCGTGCTCTCGCGAATAGCTTGTTCTCTTGATTCAGGGTTGTCTTTCAACTCCAAAACCTTGTTAAAACTCCGTATTAGTACATTTATGAATAAAATTTTCATTCAAATAGCACAATGCTTACCCTCGTTGTCTCTTTGTTAAATTGTCCGCTGCCTACAGCCCTTTCTAGGTCAGATATTTGTTTGTAAAGCTGCACGGTTTCCTTTCTCAGCGCCGCATTTTCAGCATTAACCCTATCGAGGCCTACAACAATATACAACCTTAATTAGATCGCAGTCAATAATACAGACAGTGATCCCTCCAACCTCATACTTTTATCCAATTCTTCGTTTTTTCTAGTAACTTCATGCTCAGTATTTTGTATTTGAATAATAGAACGTTCGAGAATTCGCAATTGTTCCTTAAGTCCTCCCGTTTCTCGTTCAAGAAGCACATTGTTCGCTTTAAATTGCTCGATTACTTTGTGAATTTTTGGTCAAGTAAGCAAGAGATGATCACAAAGGAAAAAAAAACGCTTTCAACATAATATACTATATATACACTTACTCCCTTCCAGCTCATTGTTACGATTCAGTAATATTTCCACTTGCAATTTTAACGCCTCATTCGTGCCACCATCAACTGCTTCAACCGCATCTGATTGCTGGGAATTTGTAGTATTCGATAAAGCTTCATCTAGCGTTTTCTGATATTCTTCAATTATTTCCTCCAACTTTTGAATTCGTTCTGATTGCTTCGTGTCGTAAGATTCATTTATTTTCTTCTGTTCTTCGTCAGTGCTCGCCTAATGTTTCAAGTATTATACGTCAATTGAAAATCCCTGACGAAACATATCATGCACATGTCGACCGATCATTCAATAATAAATGATTACCATAAAATCTCTATAAGTCTCTATATTTTTCTCCAGTAAAGCTTTCCGTCTTTCCCATGTTTTAACTGCCACTTGGTATTGTCGTTCCAAATTATCATACTTGACCGATAGATTCAGAATCTATGGGGAGAGAAGGAAAGATAAAAAATAAGAACACTTGTTGAAGCGAAAATTCGCATCCATATATGCTTTGATATCTACTTGAGATTCCTTGTCTGAAATGATAACATCTTTGTTCCTTAAATGTTCATTTAAATTGTTTATCCTTTCTTTTAATGCGTCTGTAGCGATACGGCGCGCAGCGACTTCTTTACAAAGCGCAGACGGCGTGACCGATTTGTCCTCTGTTTGCTGGTCAAAATATTGTGCCCACTCGAGCCTCTCCTTTTTTAAATTCGCATTTTCCGCTTCCAAGTCGGCAATACTCCTATACAAAGGTTTCATCTTGTACAATTCTGCTCGCATTGAATCGCGATCTTCTTTTAGCACTTGTAGGCTTGGAGATGCCATCCTGAGCATTTTTACCTCGCCGTTGAGGTTCTGATTTGCTTCTTCCAATGATCTAAGACGAGAACTTTGCTCTGTATTGTTGCAAAGAGTGAGTCAGGAGACGTCATATATAAATAAAGTTTAGCATAAAGGAAAAAGCCTGACACCTTTTATTTTTGTTTTATACACGTCAACATTGTCAAGCTCGAAGGAGTTGACTTTGTAGTTGGACAATTTCTGTTCAGCAGCTGTCAAACGGTGCTGAGTTTCGGACAACAAAGCTTGCCGTGAAGATAAAAGTTTCTTTAGTTCTTCAATCTAGATGAATTAAATTATTAACACTAAGCTCGAATATTCAGCAGTAACATAACGGCGCAATTCTACCTCATCGTTAGCAGCGGCAAGCATAGTCTCGCATCTGGATGCCTTGGACGAAAGCTTCTGCATTTCCAATGGATGGTCGGTCTCTTGTTTATTATAAGCAACTTCAAGTCGTAATAATTTAGTATTCGTTTCATGCAGCTGTTGTCTCAAGTCTTGGTTCTCTAAGTTTGCTTTTTCCTATATAAAAAAGACGGTAAGGAGGAATAATCGAACGAGTCATAGGAATATTCAGAGGCATACGAGATGACATACTTACAATCATTTCTTCCATCTTTGCCCGAGAAGTATTGTTTCTCTCTTCAACCTCCTCTTCTGTTGATTTATATGATTCCAATTCCTTCTCTAGTCTCTATAATTGAACGGCATAATCAAAATTCACAGATACGTCTAATTAGTGAACGTTTTCGTATGCAAATTACTCCTAACGACCCATCCTGCTCTTACAAACACGTACAGATTTTTCTGCATGCAACTCTTCGTATTTTATCATCATGTCAGCCTTTTGCCCATTCAATCTTGAGATTTTTCTCTCGTAATCGGATTGCTTTAATCTCAATTCTCTTTCCATTATTTTGGCGCTAACCCGAGCTTCTTTAAGTTGAGCAAGAAGTTTCTTGATTTCTTCGGATTGTTCTTTGGTCGAAGGTGGCACATCAGATACTAAATCAGACGGGATACGAAACATTGAACCTATTTGTTTGGAAACAAAAGTGCAATCATTCTTTAGTACAGATTTGGAATAAAAATCAGTCAATTTATACATACAAGTTATACATACTGAAAGGAGATTCCGATGGAGAGTAGTCACTAGAGGCACCGAATGGGGTCCGCACCGGAATAGTAGTCGTAACGCGATCCCCAAATATTGGCGCTGTATGAGACTCATACCTTGATTTCTAATGAAAAACGCGAGATTATTGTATCAAAGAAGACTGTTAGATAAAAATTCGTTTGTGACAAAGAACTGGAGTTGTGTTCATCGCATACGCGTGTGTAGTCAATCTGTTTGTGATAATTGATCGCTGCTACACCAACCTTCCTTGCGCTCTGCAATCCGCCAGCCACAGAGGTTCTCGCCCTCTTTATAGAACTAAGAGGTGACATAATGTTTCTAATGCCACTTTTTATACTACTTTCTGGAGAATGTAAAACTGGATTGCCATAGTTCTTTCCAGTCGCAGAGAATAGGGGAAAGCTTGTCGAGCTTACACTAGTGGCACGAGATTGGTTGTTGAAAAGTGAAGGGATCGTGTTGGCCGAATTAGAAGGTCGAAGGAATGGATTGTCGTCATTTGTCGACTGATCTGAATACTCCATTGTTTGTAATTAGGATAACGGTAATAGTAATAGTAATAGGTAGTATATTGATATTAATATTTGATATCTTCTTTCCCGATCACATGACGTGGGGTGTCGGCTATTATTATTATCATGTGATTTCCGCTTTGAGAATTCCAAGAAACAAATTTTTTAATAACCCAGCAATGGAAACTTGATCATCCATTCGATGCGGAGTTAAGCCCTTTGACTTAAGCAGCGGTTTTAAAACGCGGGGAGACCACATGAATGTTATAATTTCGGTTCACGGTTTAACTTGGCACGTACAAAATTTGTTTATTTGATTATAATTAACATTGTCGAATTGCAGACTTGCACTCTCACCCACACACTTTTAGCGTGCCTTAAGAATAAAGTTTTTAACACAATTAAACCTGCAGGATGTTAAATTGAGGGGGAAACGACTTTTTTGTCAGAATGTAATGGCAACAGCAATGGTAATAGCAGCAGGTATACCAATAGTGTATACGAAACAAAGTATAATGCAATTTTTAATTACAAACCGTGTTACGTATATCGCGTGCATTCTCTCCCCCTTCTGCTTGCATAAGCAATTTATTTAATTTTTCGCCTTAAGACTATTTCGACCAACAAGAATTAAACTTTGTCGTCACTTTTGCAAGTATGCCATGACTATCACCCAGGTTACCAATTGCGTAAATTCCACATTGTCCCCCGATAGTAACGTCTGCTTCTGAATTAATATTAACTCCTATTCTGTTGACATAATTAGAATAGTTGACATAATTAGAATAGCTAATTCTGTGTAACACATATTCTCACTATGTATACCAAAATAACATCTAAAAGAGAGGTATCTATAAAGGGACGGTCGGAGACTTGTGAAGATGATGGGACTTACATACGTTTTACATACTGTACTACTCCATTTTACCTTGCCTTTTACAGAGCACAGAAAATTTCTTCACGCCAATAAAACCGCTTGGCCGATAATTTTGTGTCAAATTGGTTGCAACTAAAAACTTACACTTGCAGCGTCTTGTTCCGTATCTTGTGAGCAATCCTTTAGAGTGGCATATTTGCTTACAGGTTTACTATTCCTCGTTACCTGTCTTTCCCTACCCCTCCCTCATTATTCTATACTCGTTCTTATAAACACTTTCATTAAAACAACCGCACATACCCTAATCTCCTTTGCCTTGTGCACAAACATAGAACATGCCTCCAACATTACATATTGTCGACTCTATATCCGGAGCTGCAACCGGCGGACTGGCTCAGCACATACACCAGCTGCGTGATGAAGGCCTTGCCTCCATATCGCTGAGACCAGTTGGTTTCTTCCCCCACGAGCAGACTAATTCGGCAAAGAATCCCGAGCTTTCAAATAATACGCTACCAAATGACTGCTTTGAAACCGATATGTCTACTGTCAATGACTTCTTAAGCAGGGCAAATTCGCACGACGACAAACTGGATTCACAGGAGGACTCTTACGTACTCGTGACAGGTGGCGCTGGTTACATCGGCAGTCATACCGTCCTCGAACTATTAAAGGATGGTTATAAAGTGGTAGTTGTAGATAATTTCGTCAACTCGTGCGAAGGTATGTATTAGAGTTAGTCGTCTACACAAAGTCGCTTCAACAATTAATAATCTTCCGTCTCCTTGTAGAGTCGTTAGTTCGCATCCAGAAACTGGCCAAGCGACCTTTGAAGTTCCATCACGCTAACATACTCGACGAGCAGACACTGACGACTGTTTTCGAAAAGTATAAAATTTGGGCCGTTTTGCACTTTGCTGCTTTGAAAGCTGTCGGTGAATCGACAAAAATTCCGCTAGACTACTATTGGAATAACGTGACAGGTTCCCTCAGTCTTTTCCGTGTAATGGAAAAGTTCGGAGTTCACAATATAGTGTTTTCTAGCAGTGCTACTGTATACGGTGATCCAGAAGTGAGCCCAGTAAATGAGCAGAGTAGTCTTGGCCCGGTCACTAATCCTTATGGGAAAACGAAACTCTTTATTGAAGAAGTTTTGCGAGACATGTGTAAGGCTAACAAGAAATGGAATTCAGTCATACTGAGGTAGTCTTGTAAATATTTTCAAGTGAATTTACAGTGATAAAAGATATTTTCATTCGCTTATTCGCTTGCTGTTGTTGCTATTTCAGATATTTCAACCCTACAGGCGCTCATCCATCTGGTGTAATTGGCGAGAACCCAAAAGGAATTCCAAATAACCTTATGCCATACGTTAGTCAAGTCGTGCAAGGACGGCTGCCGTATGTAAACATTTACGGCGGTGACTATGACACAGTTGACGGCACAGGTGCGTATAATATAGTGATGCTTTATGGCTTTACATTCCCTTATCCTTGTCAGTAACACATACTTTTTACTATCAACAGGAGTCCGGGACTACATTCACGTTTGTGACTTGGCCACAGGACACGTGGCCGCTTTACGCAAACTGCGCAGTGATCCTGGATGTGTTGCTTATAATCTTGGCACGGGTGTTGGTTATTCTGTCTTGCAAATAATCGGCGCAATGTCACGAGCATGTGGGAAAGAGATTCCGTACAAAATCACGGATAGACGTCCCGGTGATGTGGGAACAGTCACAGCGGACGCAAGCCTTGCTAATGCTGAGCTGGGGTGGTATCCAAAATACGATCTTGACCAAATGTGCCAAGATTTGAATCGATGGACTAGCGCCAACCCGACTGGTTATCCACAACCAGCACCTGAGACAAAAAGAATTCTCCAAGAGATGTCTTCGTAATCATTCTCCTTGTAGCCAGGCCAGCTTCACGACTCACATAGGTATTCTTTCCAAAAACGTTTACCTTGGATGGCAGACGTTTCAGCCCGAGTGCATGTTAGACATTTTGAAACGGAAGCTGCAGGGTGGTTTTTAAAATATAGATGGGATTCTTTTTTTTCTTTTCCTTCGTGCTGTCTTTTTAAACCATTTTTGTACATTTGTTCGTGCACGTTGATATTTTACTCATTGGTTATTTCCACTAATACCTAATTAATACAATAGAATGAGCCTCATTTCACAATAATTTGTATTTTATAGACTAGTTAAGTTATAAACTTCGAGTTGCGTTCGATAGAGACGAGAGATTAATCGTTCAAAGTTTTGAATAACATACAAGTAATCATCTGCTAAAAATACTAATGAATCAAGTCGACTTAATAATGAATGACAAACAAATCCAACAACGACTTAATTTTTGTGCTTCGAAATTCTTGATTTTTGGTGCGGTGTGGTGGCGTAAGAAAGAAACAAAGTGCTATTTTCATTGTTAAGCGTCAGATTTTGCTTTCGGATCTACAAAAGCATCGGACCCTCTAACCTCGAAATTGTACATAAATGAGACTGAAATTTTTATACGTGGGCAGTGAAAAACGCGGCACATTTTTACGTGTTGTTTACAGCTTTTTTTTTGTTTTTGTAAACATAAAATGACTGATTGGTAATTTTGAATCTTTGACTTAAAATGTCTGAATTAACTAAAGCTGAACGTGGTCAATTATTGGCCTTTTCAAAGCCGGTGCTGTAAAAGACAACGCTTGTCAGAAACTATTAAAATTTTTCAAAAAAAGAAACAGTCTTGTAACTCGGCCACGACGTAGTCGTCCAAAAGTTTTGAGTTTTGAGCATCAACGAACATTAAAACAAATCGTTAAGAATAATAATCGTAAATCGGCTGAACAATGAAAACACATTCAATGAAAAAACTGGACTTAATACTTCTACGAAAAATATTAAAAGAAATTTGCATGAGCTTAATTACTTTTCTCGTGTACCAGCAGTCTTAAGGAAAAATTGTGTTGGAGTGATGAAAGTCGCTTCACCGTATTCAAGAATGATGGATGTAGATTTATGAATAGTTAGACTGATAGTCATTAAAATTTCGGCCTCATTTATTTCGAGTAATTGATAAAGTTTGAGGGTCCGATACTTTTAGGGATTTGTGCGATGAATCACAGAATATTCCTTAATTACTAGAGCACTTGTATGATTTTATTTTCTGTTTGATCTAAATGAGGAGATCTGCATGCATTTTCCATAGATGGTCGTGGTCAATCAAGTTCTATCAGTACTAAAATAAAAATAGAAGTACTTCAGATTTCTTGGCAAAAGTCAATGTTGGGGAATTCGTAAAAATTCCGCTTACTGCAATCATTTCGAAAACGGATGTGGCAAAGAACTTTTACATAAACGATATGGAATTATTATATTGATAACAGTGAACCCTCCATAAATGCACGCCCTCGGGAATGGAGGAAAGCGTGCATTTATGGAGGGTGTGCATTTAGAGAGGGTAAGAATTTGATTGGATGCACGTGAAGTTAGGAAATAATAATAATAAAATATCATTGGTATTTATTATTAAAAATTGATCCATCGTCTGTTTCATTGCGGTCATCTTTTTTACATTAATATTAATGTATTTGTCGAGAGCTTTGACGTGTTTGAACAATTCCTCAGCATTATCTTGTTGTAGAAAATTTTTGAAGCCTCGTAATACTGATTGTTTTATAATCGCGCGCCCAGAAATTTCTTTATTTGGTCTTTACGTACAGAAATTTCTTTATATGGTCTTTGTCTATAATCGTGGGTACTGTAATTTTTTAGCGTAACACTACTGATATCACTGAAAGTCACGGGCGCGCATTTAGAGAGGGAGGTTTACCTATGGGATTCGAAAAAACCGTGCAGTGCAGAATATGGAGGGTGTGCATTTATGGAGGGTGCATTTATGAGGGTTCACTGTAAATGTGATTGTAGATGTTATACCAACCCATATATAGTAATTTTGATCGCGTTCAGCTGAGTGTAGTCAAAATTTTGTTTAGCCTGTCACGCTTTTGTTGTTAAAGAATCGTAAACGAGCTTTTGGATTATGGTGTTCGAAACGCTTAAACTTGGCGCAACTAAGTAACGTTTTCCTTTCTACGACATCTAAATACATTTAACAACTAAAAATGGAAATAAAAAACTTATTCTCCAGTCCAGGGATTTATCCCCAAGAATGATTCAAAACGATCAATACCTTACTATTATGTGTGGAGAAATTACCACCAAATTAAGTTTGGAGGATAAAAACATGAGCAGCGAACTTTTTTTTTTGAAAATGCATTTATAGTTATGCCAAACGTTGGCTTTCAACAGAACACCGACCCAGAGCATAAGGCTAAAAAAAAAAAAGTCGGGGAGCATATTCAAGTCTGTCTAATATATTGCTTAAAGACTTGGTATTCGGTACTGTCATCAGCGCAAAAAATCAAAATGTGCAACTATTTCTTGCATGTCCGCAAGCCTTTATTTGGGTAAAGTACTCGTAAACTCATATCGCCTTTTTCTAAAACAGTTACCGTATTTTTACGTTTGTATTGTAGTTTCTTATGACTGAGCGTTTTTTGTAATTAGCATTGTTTTAACGGAACGAAAAGAATTAAGAAAAAATTAGTTACAAAAAACGCTAATTTGCGGTGCAGAAAACGTACTTGAGTTTTCTTGTTGCGATCGTAGTTAGTTTGCCTCATTTTATGCTGAGTATTCTCTTCCGTAGCATGTTCTAATTTGTAACTTGATCTCAAATTTGTTTTTTTTCTACTAGCAAATTTAATTTTGTTATGCTGTAGCTGTAAATCTGGTTACATGTTTTCTTGTTTGAACAAAATAAAATTTTACTTTTATTATCGAATGTAGTGTAGTTAGCAAATTGTTGTCATTACTGTTACGGTATTAATTTTAAACTACATCACACTTAAAATTGAGCACTTTAACAAGCTTTTACATCACGCTATAACGCACACAAATAAAAGCCTATAGAGTACATCATGTAATATGATAAATACACGATATAGAATTAGTTGAAAAAAAGTCCTCCACAATAACCAAAAATCCACTGTAGCAGAGATCCATGTTACTTATATCACGTGACCAAATGCTATTGGTTAGATAGAATTCGCGTCGCGCTCAAAATAAACATCCAATTCTCAAAGACAAACACCTAAACCATGTCAACACCACAACGCTTTTATAATCGCACACCTGGCCCAATACCAGTCGCCCGCTTGCCAACCGACGATAACGATTCAAGTCCGCCTTTGCTTGCTCCACTCACACTAGATTACGAAAAATTTCTAGATGATAACAATAAGTGCAAGGAAAAGATAGAAGCATGTATCAACTTGGCAAAGAAGAATCTTCAGATAAAAAAGCAAAAATGGATAAATGGAATTCCCGCGTTTGAAGGTGAGTTTAGGACAGACATTATGTGTTTCAGTGTTGATACTGTAATCCTTGTCGCATTGACACACACTCTAATAAGAGGAACGGCAGAGGACCATGCGTGAGCTCGAATCTGCTTTAAAAGCAGGATCAAATTTACAAGAGATGTTAAAAAAAGAGCAAGAAGAGATGGATGAAATTAAGCGAGATGTTTCTTTATCTCAAAATCAATATCAATTGTTAATGGATCGAAAAGAGAGTATTCAAAAGCAGGTTGCTGACATGGAAGAAGAAGTGAGAAAAGCTAGAGACGGTGATTATGCTAATACGTTTGGACATCATTATTGCTCATCCTTGTCTAATCCTGGTATTCTCGCATATAGCTTCTAACGCCAGATTGCAGTGGTTACAGAAGCAGTCAGTAAAAAACGAGCCGGAATTAAAACTGTATCAAGAGAAATCGGCAATGGAGATACGAGCAGTGAGAGGTTGAACCGACGTTGCACTCTTATTTATTTGATTTAATGTGTCAAGTTTTCCCCACATTCTTTAATTGTATGATTCACCTGATGTAGAGGACGTGGTAGCATTTATCTTCACTTGTATTAATGATCGTGATCCGACGCGACAATATTCGTTTACGTTGGATTGCAGCGCATATCAATACAAAGGTACTTAAGTTAATCTAAAGAGCTTAGATATTGTTAATCAATAAGGATGCTAAGATCAAATTTTACCGTATTACAGTGTTGGCATGTTCTTTGTCGTCAGACATATATAATCCATTGCTGACCGAACTTAATATTACGCGCGATCTCTACGCATTCATCAAGAAGATGCGAAAGGCATTCAGAGAAGTACATAATAAAAGCTAGAAGTAATATTCACATTTACAGTAACATTACAAATTGTAGCAGTTTATCGTAGATTGCTAATAATATAAGTTATAGTTAAATTTCGCTCCCAGCAGAACAGTAAGCCTTGGTAGGCTAAGTTATTGACTACATGACTTATGGGTTACATGGTTTCGAAAAACCATCGATGTATGAACGTCATGAATAGCTTTTCAATGATTGAGCGAATGTTCGAAAGTAAAAAAAATATATAATACTTTAGGTCCAAATTTATGTTTGTTAGAATCATCAATATTCAGATCTAATCTACTCCATTAGAATGCTTAGCGACTGCATCGCAATGTTTTATTCATCGTTATATTCGGTATTGTTTTGTGACAACTGATTAATAACGAATTATAATATGGTAGCCGTAAATAAATAATACAAATAATTAATCTTTAATATCAAACCAACGATTTATCGACGATTATCAGGCTTCTGTGAAGTTCTCTTAACGTTTCAATGCCCGAATTGCGAATTGGGAAGAAAGACACGAAATAGTTCAGAGGAGAGACCTAATAGTATCAAGTATCGTTAGAAATACTTATTCATCTATTCATTGCCAACAACAGTCAACGACAGTAATTACCCATTTAGCAAGTAAGGGTGGCCATATTCGCGCTTCAGCGTCTGCATCTTGGGGCTTCTTTAGATATGCCGGCGCATACTTCTGGAATATGTTACTGCCCAAGACAGTGCTACATACGTGAAGGGCATTAACAATCTAAACCTGTTTACCTTTCAAACAACCAAATTACGCGTCATTCTTACCCAAATAAGAGTATCGCCACCTGGAACCAATTTTCCCCAGTTTTATTCGTAGAACAGTGAACAAGCTGATCAACAATGTAGAAATAGCGGAACTCCAAGTCAACCATTTTACATTTGATACCCTATATGAATTTATCAATCAGTTCATCTAATGATGTATGCTCGCTGCTATCCAACATTCCGAAATACCTACATCATCTGCTTCTGCCAATGATGCGAATAGCGCAGTGTGGCTGTTAAAATCGCTGAGAAATTGGACAATGTGGTTCTCAATAACACCATACGCATATGAATTCCTGTAACCGGATGCGAGCTTTTATAAAGATGTCCCGTCGTTAGACAGGAGAACTGGCGAAGCGAAGAACGACTAAAATTGCTCAACTTGACAAACCTGGAAGTTGGATATATGCCCAAAACTCATCTGCAAGGGTATCCAATAATTTTCGGACGGTCTGTTCTTGTTGTACACAGTCACATTTTCTTGTATATATTTTTCCTGTAGAAAGAACGTTTTAGAATATCTACGATAAAGCTTGTTATCCATTTGCCAATTTACGTACCCTTCGCACACTTTCGATATTGTCGATTATTGCTTTATAGTTAGGGCGAACGTTTACTAAGCGCTTCGAACGTGGAGCAGCTCGTTTATCATCATCAGGTATATCCAATTCGAAATAAACAGTGTCGTTGACTATCTCATAATCAAGTGGTGAATCTAGTAAATTCTCAATTGAAATTGTACGATATTCTTGTTCAAACTTTACTGTCCATTCCTCATTATGTCGAGAGATTTTTCCTAGTTGACAAATAATTCCATCCGTAAATTAATGAATAAATTTATAATTTCACAAGTCAATCGATGCTTACCCATTAATGCTCCATTGTCTGAATAATGGACTCGCAAACTAGGCATTCTGCATTCTGCCTTTACTTTGACTGTTTGCTGATAATCCTTTACTAGTCGGCAATTAACATAGATCTCAATATTCTTCTCTTCTACTTCACTAGGATCTCTTGGTATACCCTTATCGAGGGCTTGCTGTATTTCACGAGAAGGAAGTGGCCGGAGACGTATGTAAACTCGGACATTGCTTTCTGGGTCGACAACCAGAGTTTTAAATAGCTTAGCCGACGTCCGAGAAGTGGAAAATGCCATCTCAGTTCCATCATCATAGTCAAGATTTGTCTGAAAAGTAAATTCAAGAGGTATAGTTTCTCTGTTATGCACCACCATACTGCGAGCTGAATACTCTGAACCGTGAAACAGATTCAACATTTCAATATATGGCTGATCCGGATCAACTCCATTCACATATATGTCAAAAACATGGTTGTTTTCCATTGGGACGCTCGCTCCACGCCTAAGATTTTGTCTAGCAACTACCTGGAGTAGTATTATATGCGTATTAAAATTTAAGATACAAATCAAATTGTAGTAATTTTTTAAATATGTTATCTATTCTTACCTCCATAATGACTCTTATCGTTTTTGTATCTGCCGGATTGTCCATATTCTCAATTATCAAATACGTTAAGAATGTACTTCTCACCGTCGGAAAGAAGCTTAATGTTAGTTGATGAGCTACTCGACGATGCTCATCAGTAGAGGCCTCAAGAGTATCTTCGGTGCGGCTAATCTTAAGCCAAGACTTGTCCCTTGGAGACACACTTTTTACCTTATACGAAATCTCCTTCATTGATGTATTCTCCAACGTTATCTTCCTAGTTATGGTAGGAGACCCAAGATCTTGTTGTCCAAGATCCAATTCGTAACGACCAACAGTTTCATCAATACGCTTGCATCCACGCAAATTTATTACAGGCAGATCAGACGATGTTTTCAGATGAGGCTTTGTTTTATTGCGAGACTGTCCAGTATCATGCTTATTGTTAGATTGCTTTACTGTCGGTGTCTCTGTTGCTTCATCCTTTCTTCCCTTTGTCGCAGCTCTTCGTTCTCTTCTCTCTGATATAATGCCAACAAGAATAGTTTGTCTCTGGCTTGTTAGTGATTCCTTATCTTCAATAAATATCTTTATGTCTTCAGAAATGACTCTGTCAGAGTCCTTTAATTCTACAAACAGAGCCATCTTCTGTCCCACCCCAACAACACCACATCCATTTTCGTCTACATCCGATATACTGATTACTTCGCTAGCTGAAACTTCAAGAGGCCCTTCCACCGTTATTCGGAATTGCAAGGGAATCTTTTCTGATAAATTACATATGACAAAAGAGTCTCGCTGTAATGAGCCTTCATCGTTTGTATTTTCTACAAGTTCCCTTGACTTTCGTACAGACGAGCGACGACTCATAGATGGCCGTTGATCATATTCACCTGTATCGCCATTAGCATCATTGTCCGAAGTATATAAAGCCGTCTTGAAAACAATACGTTTCTCCGGTACAAAAAAGGTTGAAGATTCAGTTATAACACCCCGTATAGGAATATTCTTTGATACTCTCAAAACGCCCCCTTCAGCGCTCTTAGTCGCAAGCCAAAGCTTACCAAATCCAACACCATCAGGATTCACAAGATATGCGGCTTGTTGTGGTATACGAACATTCTCAATAGGATAAGCTCTGACACGCACTTCAATTGAACCATGTGCGCTCACCGATACGCTACCTATTAAAGGTGAATTCGAAAACCTTGACAAAACTTCAACTCTTACAAACTGTGATACGTCAGGTGCAAGTTCGACACCAATCTCAAAGCGTATATCATCGTCAGAAGTATTGGATATGGTAAACCAAGAATCACATGGAGCATCTGGCTTGGGTATAGGATGATAAAGTGCTGGAAGAACCAATTCTCCCCGAACAAGTCGATCAAATTGTAGTTCGAGGAGAGTTAATGTCGCTTTCAGTTTTAATGTCATCACGTTGTTCGGATTATACATATTGAAAACATTAACATCAAATGTTCGTTCTCCAGGCGAAAAGCTGTCTATCTGTCGAGGTTTGAGAACAGCCGAAAATAATCTCTCGTCACGAGCCGGTATTATATGTTTCGATGCAGCTTCCCATCTCATTGGTTCCGAGCTTTTGCCATCTTCTTCCAATATCTCTATACATTCAGGACTATCCAATTGATACTGCAAAGGCCCACTTGACAAATTTTTAACCGTGAACTGAAATGAAACATCCGCCCAAGAATTTGAATGTCCAATTTTGCCAAGGTCAATCATTTTCGTGCTCAGTTCACCCTTTGATACATAATAATTGGTAAGCAACTCGATGGCTTTGACAGCGACATCTCGTACTTTGTCATACAATAGTAATAGCCCTGCTGTGTTCACTAACTTTCCCTGATTGAGTGCAATTGAGTCGGATTTCTTGAGCATGGTAGGAAATGGACAACTTACGTAAAGGTAAGCCTTGCTACTTGGAAACATTTCGAAAGAAGTTCCACACCTACGAAATACGTTATCGTCGGCATTCCGCATATCATTAGCTTTAGCCTGAATAAAGTGGGATCCTTCTGACGATTCCCAGCGTATGTCTACATCGAAATTGCTCTTTGGAAGAATTTGTACAGTGTCCATCCTTGACGCATTGGTAACTTCTACGCATACTTCGTACGACGGGGTAGTTGCTGCTGAGGAGCTTTTTTGGATTACAGCTTTAATTTCCGAGCCAGACTCAACAACATCAACTTTGCTCTCCACATTTGATTCCTCGTCAATGACTGCTACACATACGTTGTTCCATACAAGTGCGGGTAATCGTTCGGATTCTTTAATGCTGTCTGCAAATTTTAAATCAGTATCGACTATCAAACCGTCTATATTATTTTCAGGAATGTCTTTCTTGGTTATATGAAGCAGTTCTTCGTCGACAAATAGTCGAACTTCAATTTCAAACGTTTGACCGGTATGATTTTCATTGTTAACTACAATTATGTCTCGAAACAAACCATATTTCGAAGGTGTAACTCGAAAACTGATGATTCTTTGTGACTTATCCTCGATATCAATTTCGCCTGAAAGAACCTCAACCTCACCGGCATCTGACGTGCCAGCAGGGATTTGCACCATTTCAAGACCCCACCCTTCGAGCGTACCATGCGTACGGTCAAAAATGATGTTACCACTGGGGCATTCTACTACATAATCCAAAGGCAAACGTCTGGACATATTTCGCAATTTGAAGGAGCCATAAATGGGTTCGCCTAACGTAGAAGTGGAACCAAGCGTAATCAAAGT